TCGGAGAGGGTGGCGAGGGCAGAGGAGCAGAGGAGAGCTGGAGAGGAAGATGGAGAGGTTGGCGGGGCAGAGGAGCAGGGAGTCGAAGAGGGCGCGACGCGGCCGGTAATGGAGTCGGAGAGGCGGATGCTCGGCGTGGCGGGATTCGGGAATGGAGGCGGAAGCTCGACAGAGGGTTTTGGTGGTGGCGGGGCGGCCGTTGCCAGGCGAATTGGGAGTCGGGAGTTGGGACGGGAAGTGGAGATGAGGAGTTGCGGAGAGGAAGATGGGTTGCGGAGAGATTGGCGTGGCAGCAATGGGAAGTGGGACTGGGAATTGTCTCTGGGAAGTGGGAAGGAAGTGGGCTGGGGTCGACAATCGACTAGGGTAATTTGGGGTAGGGTTAGAGATGTATGTCCGGGTATCCACGGGTCGGGTACCCCCAAACCCGAACCCGCCCCAACCCGCCCAACGAGCCATCGGGTTTAAACCCAAACCCGGCCCGAACCCGGTCAACACGGGTTTTACCCGGTTTGACCGGGTTAGGTCGGGTCGGGTACCCCCGAGTCCGGGTTGAACTGCCATCCCTACCTCCATAGAGTCAGGTATTATTTGAAAGAGCTCAGAAATCCTGAGTTTCCATTATGTGAGAAGTGTACATTTATAGCAGCTGAAAGCTGTTACAGAAGGACCAAAACCTACAGAAACAATATTGCCTAGAATTGTGTAACAGAACATAAACAGAATGAGAGAAGTGGGGAAGTGGGCTGCTGAGATGTGTGGAGTTGTGCTGCTCTATCACGCCCCTGCAAGTGGAACCTCGGAGAGGTGAAACTTGAAGCAGAAACGATTAACGGTAGAAGATAGGTAATGAACTTGAAGTGGCCTCTGGGTGATCAGCTTTCTCTTGGAAATCAACATTCAGGCGAACTGCCTCCCAGTAGAATTCTCAATGCAGATGTAAGTAACCCCAAATTGGCCCAGACCTAGTTCTTTCCTGATCTTGTAGTGGAGCTTGACGTCCTCTTACGCCTTCCTAAAGATGGTGTCAGGTCTTCAAGCCGGCTTCAGGCTTGGCCGAGTGAGGATACCAATCTTCGTGGTTCCACCTTGACTTATGCAGCTACAGCTGATAGCTTATTAAAATTCTGGAACAGCAAGTGGAAGAAGAAGAACAAAAAAGATGTCGGTTGAATTGAATTGGGGGAGGGTGGGTTTTGTTGTGAAGAAAGATTCAGAGACGATGGGGCAAGATTCAGAGAAGAAAGACCTCGAAGAGGAATTGGAGGAGAAAGAGGTGTGAAGCAATATTAAAAGAGAGAAGAATCAGAATCACCAGGTGAGGTGGAGAGATGGAGAGAAGAGGCAGAGGACTGGTCGTCACTCATGGCTGCTTGGAAAAGGAAAAAAAAGAAGGGAGTAGATTTATAGGAAAAGAAGAGATAAACAGTTTAGATGGCCGCTGTGGAGGATAGGGAGATAGAGAGGTGCCAAGATAAGGAGACGAAACAGAGGCAGAGGAAAGAGCTACCACCGGCAGCCAACGAGAAGGGAAGCAAACAGAGGAACGAATGGGAGATGAATGTAGAAGAAAAAGATAGGATGAGAGTGATTGGAACTAAACAGTGGTTGACATGGAAAAGAAGGAGAGGAAAGACGTAGGGAACATCAGATCTGGAAGCATTCTGATGGGCGACGTGAGAAGCTAGTTGCAGATGTCGCTCCGGAGATGACTTTGAGTGAGAACGGTTTAGGAAGAAATGAAATTCGGTGGAGGATGATTGCTAGAGACGAGAACAGAAAGAAGAAAGAGAGCCATGGCTGGTCAATTGAAGCGGCCGCTACGGGAAAAGAGTAGCAAAATATAGGATAAAGAAGATAGTGGGATGGTGAGGTTTCTGCAGAGGGACGGTGAGAAAGTGAGCTTTGGAAATAGTTAGACAGATGGAAGCCATTGGAGGAGAGTGAATAAGTGATAACGATGTATTTGCACATGTTTGCACCCTTAGTTCTTATCCATTTGCGGCTAGTAGTCGTGTATTTTTGGCCCGTTTTACGCCGGGTTGTGCTACTTTGTCATATTTCAGCTCTCAGACGTCGAAGGAAAGGCTAAGCACGAGTTTCGGGGCATTTGGAAGTCATTCGGTCGAGCTGGGGCCAAAGCATGGGCTGGCCTAAACCAAAACACGACCATGTACACAAACAGGCACGCCAGTGTTTTTATTGCCGAGAGCTGAATTAATGGAAAAGCAAAACACGGGCTGGCCTAAAGCAAAACACGGCCTTGTCCATATTTAGGCACGACCGTGTTTTGGCCGACGCGGGCGTGTTTTTAACACGGGGTAAAGCACGGGCGGGCAAAACCAAAGCACGGCCCTGCCCTCGATCGTGTTTTGCCCAGGGTCAGCCTTTTAGGCAGATTTGAGCCAAAGGAGGAGGAGTTCCGAGTCTTAGAGAGACAGAGCAATACCTAGAGAGAGAAAGTGACGAAACTGAGTCTTCAAATGTCTTTGATCGATCTCCATCACCACGGGAGCCCGGCTTGAGCTTGGAGAAGATCCGATTGAGCGCCAGAAGCAGATTATCATCCTTCACAGTATGGTTTCCGCATCTGAGCTAGATTTTCCCTCTCTCTCTGAGTAGTTTTCTTATTCATCTGGGTATGGAGAACCCTAGATTTGTATGTTAGGTCTGATTGTATGAACCCAAGTACAGATTCTATGATTTGATTATATTCAATTGAGGTTTGAATGATTGAATGGCATGAATCCTAATCAAATTCCTGTTATTTCTGCTTTAGCCTAGAAAGAGAATATCTGCCTAGGTTGATAGAGCACCCTTAATTGAAGGTAGTGAATTGGTGACTTTAGTCGAGGAGCCAATTCACTATTCTGTACCAAATTTACTTCGATAATGGAGGTTTGGTTCGTTAGGGCCTCAATCTGTTTACTCCGATGGAGGTTAGTCGCCCGCTGGGGACTCAGATTGAGAGGGTCTGGAGACCTTTAGTCGAGACTTCAGACTGCTTAAGAACCTCCCGCAATATAACTATCATAGGAATTGAACTTGGTAAATTACAACCCGGCTTAACTGCAGTCTAGGGGGAACCATATCCGGGTGACCTCTCTCGACTTGAAAACAACCGTTTAATTGCTTGCTTGTTTGCTTGTTTGAACCTGCACTAAAGTTTCACCGCTAAATAATAAGAATTCGCTGAATAGTCATCACATCTAGGACCCGGGTTGACATTAAAACCCAAACCCGCTATACTACGCTTTAGGAAGTGGTTACACTTGGCCATTTTCTAAAGTGACAGTAGGAGTGAGTCAATAAGCTAGAAGGTGAAAGCTTTTAGCAGATGTTATGTGCAACGCTGCCAAGAGGAGTTTGATCTTGTGGAAAGTGAAAGGGATAGTTGTACGTTGATGAGAGGCGAGGAAGAAGAGAAGAAGGAAAAGAGGGGAAGGGGGGGGGGGGGGGGGGGAGGGGAAAGAAGATAGGATCTTACACTGCGCGCTTTGAGGCTCTGATACCAAGAAAGAGCTCAGAAATTATGAGTTTCTACTATGTGAGAAATGTACATTTATAGGCTATAGCAGCTGAAAACTTATGTTACAGAAGTACCAAAACCTACGCAAAAGGCAGAAACAGATTTCTTGGAATTGTGTAACAGAACATAAACAGAATGAGAGAAGTGGGGAAGTGGGCTGCCGAGATGTGTGGAGTTGTGTTGCTCTATCATTATCAACCTTATTATGAGGTTTTATTAACAGTATACTAACACCACTATTGTCCTATAAATCTTGATATCGATTTTATTAATAATACATTGATACACTATTAATGATTTAAAATGTCATTATCAAAGTTTGTATCACGATATCAGTTGTTGTTTGTTTGTTGAAACTACACCGTTTTTGGGATCTCATTTATTTAATATCATTTTTTGATTACATTAGTAACATATTTATTGTCCTTAATATCGATTTTTGAGTTCATTTGTTTGTGTGTTAAAACTGTTAAGCAGCTTTCACCGAAACGTTAATAACTTTATATTATATCGTTACTAATTGTTTCCAAATCGTTAACAATTGGCCTAAAACATTTATAATTTTCACTTTCAATGAAATTTTGAAATGAGAACGTAACTTTTACGTTCTAAAGGTTAAGCAACTCCCACCAAAAGGTTAACAACGTTAAAGCATATAATTACTAATAGTTTCAAAACCGTTAACAATTGACCTAAAATATTAACAATTCTCACTTATAATGAAAATTTTGAAATGAGAACGTCACTTTTACGACTCAAAAGGTTAAACAACTCTCATCAAAAGGTTAACAATGTTAAAATATATCATTATTAATAATTTCAAACCGTGAACAAATAACAAGTGACCTAAAATATTAACAATTTTCCCATTTATTATTAATAATGAAATATCCCACAAGAAACGCAGCAACAGAATCACAACATGGCTGGAGGTTCTGCCGTCGTGATGGCGGCATCGATGGAGGTGGAGGTTGTGGCTATTGTTAGAGAGCGGTATTAGATACAACATAACATTCTCTCAATAACTTGAGTTATTGGGACCAACTGGTTTATGACTTGGTATCAGAGCTGGTTTGGCCAAGTGGTCGTGTGTTCGAATCTCCATGACCCCCAATATTAAACTGTTGATTAAAGCGTAAGGTATGATGGGCTTGTGCAAACTTCAAGCCCATGGATTAACTTTCATTTTCTTTCGTGTTAGAAAGCGATATAAGATGGGATGGGATGTCAGAGTTGACTGTTGAATAATTACCAGTTTACTTTTCTTCTTCCATTAGGGAAACCACAAATCTAACACAACGAGCTTGATCTAGTGAACAAGAATTCGATCTAATGGTTCTGACATTAATTTTTCAACCCGAAGATTCCACATTCAAATATCTTAAATAGCACAAAAACAAGTTTATGTCACCCTTAGTGCATACCATTCTAAGTATGTAGCATTTTTGCTGGCGTAGGTTTGAATTTGACAGTAACAAAAGTAAATATATTATCGAACATTCATCGAAACATTGGGTTTGCACATAGAATCAGTCATCCCAAAGGCATATAAAGAGGAGATAGTGTAGCTCTACGCACCAAATAATATGGTCTCTGTCAAGCGCACCATCATTCAACTGCTTTCTAATGTCTCCATCTCATTTAGAGTTCAAGGCTCAAATTACACTGAAGAAGCGACGCTTCTTTTAAGCAATCAACTGAAAAATCTTTTGGGAAGGAAAAGTTTAAGAAACAACGTGTAGACATTAAATTCGCTCCTCTCCCTCAGAAAGAACTATGCAGAGCTCAACAACAATGCAACGTCTGGATTGAGGAAACCCAACACACCATTGTTCAGAAGTCGCACGGCTGCTCCCTGGCTGAACTTCCTGGCCAAGAGGAAGCACGTTGAGTAGATGTTAGCCACCTTGTACCACTCTGTCCGGTGCTCACTCTCGTAACGGACGTGATTGGTTCCCTGCGTCACATTCCAGTAAAAAATGTTGTTGGCAGGACACATACCGTCTATTGCAAGCTACTGGTAGATAATTACACGAAATCACGATGCCTGTGCTCAATTAGGTATCCAATATGGATGGATATCCAAAGACAATTATCAAAACAAAGGATCACATCTCCTTTGTTTAACACGCACGACTAGTATATATCTTGAAATTTACCAAACCTTACTTGAAGCAGTTGTCCCATAGGAAGTCAAGAGGGAGGCGGCGGCGAGCGAGGAAGAGGAAAGCAATCTTAGGGGTACCTTGGAAGGTCTCAAAGTTAGAAGAGAATGATGGTTCATGAGGAAAGCGGTTGTTGTGATGGGGATTAAACTGGAGATAAACTAGAAGGCACAAAATCAGGAGAGTATTGGTGAACATCTTGCAGAAAAACCATGAGAGATTGTTTAGCTTTGGTGGGGATGAAAGTGGCTTCTTCTTTGCCATGGTTAAGTGAGGAGTTGAAAAAAGATAAGGAAAAGAACACCTGGAAACCCACTCTGTTTGCTCACCCTTACAATGTGAGGGGTGCAGAAAGGAAGAAGAGAGAGCTCATTAAAAAGAGTGTGAAGTGAAGATGAGAGAGAGATAGGGAAGAGAGGAGAAAGCCGTTTCAACTTTCAAGCAGGCAAAGCTGAAACTGCACGAGAAGGAGAAGACTAGTTTTGCACATGGGCAAGAAAGTTCTCTGGTTAATAGCATTTATGGGCTGTCTTAACCTAGAGGAATTCTTCAGTGAATCAATAACGGTAGAAGGATACACAGATCTTGGTACTTGTTATTGCAGGTGTCTAGATAACTTTTTTATCCTTCTGTTCCCTGTTTACAGTGAGATAGAAATAGAAATGTACCAATGGAAGTATGCTTAAAAGGTAACGACTATGTACAAAAGAGAAGCTCCAGGCAAATAATCGAAGTAGATTTGGATTCAAGTTGCTTTTCCATTACATTGAACATGGTTTGACAATAAATTCCAAAAACAATGGACTAAGGAGCCATTGACAGAATAAAACAAAAACAAAATTACAGCAGTGTAAGTACAGAAAGAATTGGGTATGGATTTTTCTAGAATCGATAAAGATTATTGGAGGTATGGTGTTCTTAGAGTACATAAAAGTCCCTTCCTTTCCCTGCCTCAGCTACTTCCAATTTGTGGCGATATACTGAAACTGTTGCATTCCCTTGTGGATGTTAAGAAATTCAGTACCCCATTTTAATTTATTTAGTGTTTCTCATCACATAAGCTACTATGCAACCCAAGATTCCTCCAACAACAACCTGCATTATGTTTGACAGCATGATTTAGATCAGTGTTGTCCTACCCTCAAAGCTTCTCTTTTGCCTAGAGTAATCATGGATGACTCTTCAAGAGTCAATAAGCCATGAAACTGGCAACTTCTCTATAAATAGGAAGCAAACCTGGAATGGAGTGTGTCCAAGTAACTCGCGCAGAGGTCTGACACTGGATAATGGATGTTCTGGAGGAAACTCACACACAATTTGATTCAGCAACTGCAAGATGAGGTAGAATGAAACAGCACAACATGGTCATCTTAGGCCACAAATGTGGAATGTGCTAATCAAATAGAAGCAAAGAATGTCTGAAAACAAGCACTTACTTCAGCTTGACGACCGGCGTGAAGTCTAATCCCTGAAGCATCATACATCACCTGAAAAATTGAAGCATTTCCCAGTCACATAACCAGCAAGCGTGCGAGCTCATAAATCCACACTAACAATTAAATTAATGCTGCATCGATGAAATTCTAAACATAGAGACAAAGTTCGTAAAGTGCATTAACGAAATTCAAAGCTAATGGTTCACAGGATTCTCATGTGGGTAAAGATGGGAACTAGCATAGTGGATAGAACATACAATACAAGCGAGGATAACAGCAATGGCGAAAGCAGGAGATCCGGTTCCATCTTGCAAGCCAATTGCCATAGCCAGAGCGGTCACGGTAGCGGAATGTGAAGACGGCATTCCACCAGAGTCCACCATCCTTTTAGAATCCCATCTCTTCTCCTTGAACCTGATCATCTAGGTCCCAATCCACATACGGAGTTTTCAAATTATGAGCCTAGAAGGACCTCCTCAAACTTCGACACAAATCAAAGAACTCTTCCGATTTCAGGAAATTAAATTTGCTGATCGATAGAGGGAAAAAAGAGAAACGTGAAAGGAGGGGGAGTGGCGAAATGCTGACCAGGTGGTGAAGAGCTTGAGGAACTGAGCGAGAGCGAAGGCGAGGAAGGCGGTAATCAGCGGGAGGTTGCTCGGAAGCAGCGAGGATGGCGGAGAAGAAGAATCCGATGAAGGCTTCGGAGGAGTCAGAAGAGCCGACGAGGCCGTCTGAGCCATAGAGAGCGCCGCCCTGCCCAGTGTCGCGGCGTCGGCGGTCGTCATCACCTCGTCCATCATTAACTTGTCTATCGCCGGAGATCGAAGTTTCAATCAGAAAAAGCCGATCTAAAAATTCAGCTCCGGGTGGCGGATAGGTGATCTGGCGATCTCTCTCTCTGTTTGCCAATTAGCTTTCTCTCTTGCGTCGTTGCATTATTGAAGGAAGAAGGGAACAGAGGTGGAACTGTGCTTGCCGACGAACACAATAAAAACAAAAGGCTAATTCCAGCACAAATGATTTAAAAAGTGTCATGTCATGTGTACTATACTATTTAATATAACAAATTAGATATCGAAATTATATTTTTTGTTGATGTTGACCAACACTAATCAACGGTATTTAACAGAAAATTTAGTCAACATTTATATAATTTGTCTCAAAATTTTGCATTTTGAATAGTTTATGAGACAAATGTCACGAAACGATATAATTTTTGCCAAATTTGTCATATTGAAGAGTTTAGTACACAAATGAAACTTTTAATATAGTTTGAACTTCCTTATAAAAAAAAGGGTAAATACAATATATTAGCCATAACTATTAAGTAGTGGGGAATTATAGCCACAACTATGAAAATACAAATTATTAGCCATAACTATTGTTGTGGGTCAAGATTTGACTAACAACAGTTACTGTTTTCAAATTTTTAACGGAGAAGACCATGTCAGCATTAGTAAAAAATATGATATGATGACTGCCACGTGGGAGCCAACTCAGCATTGTAAAAGTTTAGTCATCATTACTAACATAAGTGTTAACGAAAACTTAGCCATTGGCTAATAATTTGTATTTCGATAGTTATGGCTATAATTCCACGCTTCTTAATAGTTATGGCTAATATATTGTCTTTGCCCTAAAAAAATATAGTTTGGACTTTCTAGTGGAATTAGCTCAAAACAACAAGATAGTATTCCTGAGGCAAATTACAAATAGGTCCTTAAATACAACTTATTTAACATTTAGAATCAATTTCCATTTATTCATTTGCTTTTGATTAATAATAACAGACTTGTCCATTTAGTAAAAAAAAACACTTTATTCTCAAGTCTAATAAGATTCGATTTCAGATCCTGATTTAGGATGATGTACGAAAATACGAATTTCTTGGATATGACACGAGAAAAAGACATCTATTTGTGCTCTAGAAGCATATCTACACTGCAAAAATAGCAGTAGGTTCCATGAAAACAAAGAGCTAACCATACTAGCACAAAAATCTTAGAGAAGGATCTCTATCTTTATTATTCTTTCTCTAGCAAATGCCCCCTATTTGATTCAAACACACTATATCTCCCGCCTATTAAGAGTAGATAGAGCATTTACAGTGGGGAAGAAGTTTGAAGGACAAACCCCCTCTCCTCCCTACAATGTAGCCATTAATCAAAGCAGTGAACGTTCAGGGTCTTCAGGCAGAGATGAAAAACTGTGTTTACTGCTGTGTTTACTTTGAGGGCGCTTCGTCGAGACCAAGTCCCCGTCGCTCTCATCGCCTTCATTGTCCACCTCTTTGAAGGCTGGATGCACATATGCACTCTGGAGGAAGCTTTTCAGGTTGAGGTTCGGCTCCTTGGCGCGTTCTAATGTGTCTTTCCTCATCGCTTCCTGGAAAAAAGAAGGGAACTTCACTAAGCAAATGTGCTTTTCCAACTGTAATGGGAGAACACCATTCGTTTTTACCAACCTGTAATGGATACTTAACAAAGGCAGGTTCATATCTGCCTTTGCAGAAGCGATGGAACCACAATGTCAACACGGGGAGGGTGATGAGCAACGGTGTTGATTGCGCGGCTTCTTTTGTGCTCATTAGCCCCATCAACAGAAGTTGTGAGACGACCAATGCACCCACGATTCGTCCATGGACATCGGGCCAGAATGCTGCACCACTCTCGTACTCCTGGTTGTACACATTTATGATCTGGCAAAAATGATCATGATTCATGAATGAAACCAATCATTTGTCAAGACATATTGGATGATGTTGTCACTGGAAAGGAACATAATTTATGTGACTGTGAGCTTGCCTGATGTCGATAAACAACGAATGCCAGGGCGAAGAACAGGATGATGAAGGGAAGTAAGATAGGGGACACCACTGCATATACGAGGCCAAGTAGGAAGTAGAGTTGTATCTGCGGTTCGCCTGTGTTGAAACCAATTGTTCCCGGATCCATTGCCTCTTCCCTGTCCTTCTCAGTCTTGACAAGGAACCAGTTCTTCAAGTGGTAGATTACAAGAGGTTTCAACCTAAGTATCTCGCCAGCAACTCCAGCCCACCCATCAACCATTATGTAAGTTATGAAGAAAGTCGCCTTCATAGGAATCGAGACTCCAACCGTCTTTGGTATCCTGCACAATATATTACAATGAAGTCAGTTTGCTTTCCTTAAATTTTTTACTATGTAAAATTCAGCAGCCTAACAGTAAGTAGGATGGAGAGGTCATTCATACTCAGTTGCAGACTGGTGTATGAAATTGTCCAGCTGCTGAAATGCAGTTCCTGTGATTATGCTGCCGAGGAAAACATTGATGAACTGGAAAATATAATATCTAGTTGCAGATCTCCTCTCCAATGTGGAAAGGCTAATGAATCCCTCGAATTTCGACATCATCATCAAGATTGCGGGGAGAAAGATGAGGAATAACTTGAGAGCAAGTCCAGGAAGGAAACCTTGGATGACAGACTTTATGACTTTCCTGCAAAAGGAAGCCTGGCAAGTATTAAGAGACCATTACAAAATTTTAAGTAGAAAAAGAGAGCAAGGCAAAGCAAGAGATTGGCATAAGAAATCTACTTACATTTCGATTATTGGCTTCAGAAATGGAACCGCTTTCTCAATTCCCTCAATATTTGCAAGGGACTGCACAAAGAAGATTGGGATCATGAAAAAGAAGGTAAGGAAGAAGAATGCAACACCGATGACGAGCCTCCTGATCGCGAGTGAAACATATGGTATGGCCAAGTTGTCCCAGTACACGTCCCGGGGTTCAGGAGCCCATTCAGTCAGCCACTCTGTTGGATTCCTGGATTGCTGTGTTTGTGCACAAGTGGCAGCAGCCCACCGTGTTTTGAAGGAAACGAATGCCGCGGGCATGATAGCATCCCGGTTGCTCATGACCTTCTCCCTCTCTGTTGAGATCTGTAAAAAAAAAAAGTTGGGGAAAGAAGCATTGTGGTTGAAAACCAGAAGGTTTATGGATCGTTCATGAAGTGATTTCAGATATGTGGCTTAACGAACACTAGGACTAGTGGTCTTACTTCTCCTGAGATTCTTTCAATCTCAGATGTATAGTGGTCGATTGCATCCACCCTTGCACCACAAATGCCAAGAAAACCAGTCTGTTTGATGAAAAAGAGATAAAGGCATTAGTGAAGAGAACTAAGACCACTAATTATATGAGTGCATCAAGCTCTCTCTTGCAAATGAGTTCAAATATGAAAAGTATGGAAACAAGATACTGTAGGAGTAACCAATTTTACCTTTGTCGTGGGTTTAGTAGAAGGATTTCTTGAGTATTTGATTTGGTAGTAGTCTAGCCAATTCTGACATTTTTTCTTCTCCGCGACTAAGCCGGAAAATTTATTAGCATTGTAAACAACCTGCAAGCACCCACGATTATGATTCAATGTAGTCAGATTGAAAGATACTTCTTGGAACTTATGCATCCCAAAATCTATGGACTCGAACCTGGTGAGTGAGGTAATGGTCTGGATGATTGACTAAGAAGAAATGCTCTACAAGTTCACCTACTGATTCATCAGGATCTGGAGGCACATTTTTAACAAGTACCTGCAATAACAAAGAGAGGACATTTTAAGAACTTTTTTCTTAATGCACCACAATATAAGCTCATATCTAGCAATGCTTTGGCTGAAATTGTGAGATCGGGGGTGACGATTGTTAGGGGTTCCTGTTACCGCGAATTGATCAGGGCGACGATGCTCAGATGCAAGGAAATGCAGCCGCATTGAAGCCACAGTTGCATACTCCCTCTTCAACACAAAACATGTCCAGAAAGTGAAGACATAAGCCATCACCAAATGGGTCCAGAACCTGTGTCACCGAATGATGCAGCAAAATCTGTCAATAACCAGGCAGGCAAGAACATCATCACTTGGCAAAAGGGAGTGACTATTACCTGGGTGATCCAAGTGGAATGTTGGATATAGAAAGCTTATCCAGGTCACTGAAAGTCAAATCAGTCTTCTCTAATGTATTGTTGGTCCAGTTAACGGGCACCAAGATTGAAAAAGCCAGAATTGCAATTGGAACAAATATCTTAAGCCTGCAATTGGAAGATAAACAAAAGAGTAAACAACAACACAAGACAAGCAGGCATACATTACAAGTAGTGATGTTCATCACATTTGGTAACAGAAGTCCAAAATCATCATACCCCAACAAGTAGATCCTCAAATAAACAACAGAGTCCAGCCCAGCATGATCAATTAGCTCCGGCTCCGGCATTCGAAGAGCTTCAGGCATCCAATTGAGAAATTTGAGATATGATCTGAAGTCCAAATTCACAACTTTCCCAACAAGTGTCCCCGACCCAGTTGGACTAGTCCTTAAACCCTTAAGGTACCATTTGGGGAAGTAGACCCTGTCATTCCAGGGCTGAACTCGAAGTACGGCGAATACAATGAGGAAAACAAATGCACTGAGTATGTTTATTCCTGCTGATACGCCTATATCACTTATTGTCGCCATATCTAATGTTCACTGCGACTTTCCTCCGGGCTCTGTTTCCTGCGATTGAAGAGAATCCCAATCAAATCAAACAGAATTGTCAGAATTCATCAGTTTTTTTTTCCCATTTTCATCTCTCCAATTTGGAGTTTCATAGACAAAAGGAAACTCATGCAACTTAATTTGACAACCAAATAGGCAAAACTATCTTTCTATTAAGACAGAGACATACCCTTATCAATCATACAGCAACTAGATAGCCATTGAAACTTAATGTCACTCTAAGAACAGAGGCCTCTCTGTTTTCCTCCGAAACCAAACGGACTGTGCCATTCTTTTTTCCGACTGTTTCCCCTCTTCAGCATTCTACCGAGACAAACAAACTTGAACTACCCAACTTTTTTCTATTTGAATATGCCAAAGAAAATAACAGAGAGTGTCCTAAAAGCCGCAAGCTTTACTTATTTCACCTGTTCACGGAGCCAAACCGCCGAAAATGAAGAAAGCTCCCGACGAGAACTCCGCAATTGGAGTCCAACCCAATTCCTCGACCCCGGCAGTGAAATGTGGAAGGCACAAAAACGCAAGGTAAAGCACAGCGCCGTAACGAAACCAGAGTTCTGGAAAGGAAACACAAGGCAGCAGCTTTCCTTTCCCAGTTCGAGGATACTTCGAGCTAGAAAAACTCGCCGGAAGAAAATCCCGGCGAGAAAGCAGAAGCCTTGATGAAAATTGGCTGCAAATCAAAAGGAAGTCAGAGTTCGGGGCTTTGCTGCCGATCAGCCAGCAAGAATGCGGCAAATCCTGGGGTTTGGCTTTTGGTTTTCACTTGGCTTTCCTCACCCGATGTTGTTATAAAACGTATTAAAAGGAATTAATACGACGAAATCTACCAACGGAGAGCCAGCAAACTTCTGCCGTTTCATCTTTGCTTTTTCTTTCAATTACATATATTCTTCGTCCTTAATCCATTAAATTTGCTGAGTAAATTATTATTTTCCTTAGAGGTGATTATTATCGGCGGTTTGTTTAATATTGGCGCTAAAAGGCACGTGGTTGGTATGGGTTGGTTGGTGGGACCTGAGTAACGGCTATTTTTTTCTTTTGCCTTTTGGATTCTTTTTCGCTCTTGTTATGAATTCTCCTATTCTTTCTTCAACATCCGGCTTTAATTTGCGAGGAATTTTACAATGCTATATAGTATTGGTGCTATACGTTTTTGTCTTCATGGTACAATTTGAAATTGTACATTTAACGTTGTGGTACAACTTTAGATTATACCTATACTGTTTGTACAAACTCTTTTATGGTACAACTTGAACTTGTACCTTTATGTGATGGTACAACTTCAAGTTGTAAAGTTGTACCATAACATAATGGTACAGATTCTTTTATGGTACAATCTAAACTTATACATTTCATGTTATGGTACAACTTTAAGTTGTACATTAAAGCACCAATACTATATAGCATAGTAGAAATGCTCTTAATTTGCATGCTCATAGGGATAGGTTGATCATGTGTTGATAATTATCCGTTTATGCTGCTTACAATCTCGATTATGTGTTGGAATCATTTAATATGTGTCGTTTTATGCATTTAGTGATAAGAATTTTACAATTATGTCAATTTTCAACGCATGAATCTAACGATTGAGAACATAGATCATACAATCTTGTTATATTAGAAATGGACCGACACCGTCATCTCATTCATATTTGGAGTTGAGTATGATAAATTTTATTTTATTTGCTGAAATGGGTTAAGTAACCGACAGTGAAGATTGGAAAGCGGAAGAAGGGTTAAAGGGAAAGGATATTAATATGCAAATTAGGGTTTGTATTTATATAAATTGCGATCTACTTCATCAAGATTCAAGAGTATCTCTTTCCAATCAATGCAAAATCATTCGGTTAGTGGTAGTCCAGTACATAGTTTGGGGATATGAAGCGTGCGGTCTTAAATTCGTTTACGTTTCGTTATGGAGGGTTATGTAGCCGTTTGAGTTGTCTGTCTCCTCCAGAATTGTTTGAAGCAACTGATACTTTGCTATTATTTCCATCTCTGATTGACAAGCTGGCGATTCTCTGTTTAGTGATTACAAGTGTTTTAATCATGTTGTCGGAGATTGTCTTAACAATATATATATAATATTAATACATAACAAATATGTCTTAAAAATAGCATGTGTATTAACAGACGTATTCGGGTTGGACAGTGAGAAAAACATGTTGACTCATTACTCGTAATATTCGGATTCGAATTTTATCCATACCCACTAAAAGTTCTTCTAGCTTTTATTTTACTCTATCTGATGAGATCAGATTTGAGCGAATATTCACGATTGTAGATATTTTTGTCATACTATCCTCACGAGATTAAAATATGAGTCATATTTTTTTTTATATAAATAAATATTCATTGTGAAACGGGCATGAGTGTGAGTATGAGACGAGGAAGTCTAAAACCATATTGCCTCATTATTATGATGCGATCAAATTTTTGCAAATTTTGCTCATACCCAATCAATGCGGGAATTTCCCACGTTTACTATATGGAAGATGGTCCTCCTACTACAAACCCCTTCAGTATCATGTAAAAAGGAATATTTTCCTTCTTGCACAAGTCACCATAGAGGTCTAGAAAGAAGTTCGTTTAATTTGGTGTTTTTGAGAGAGTATATTTTGTAGAGCTTTGGGACTCCTGCCATAGGAGAATGCCTGAATTTGCAGTGGAATGTTAAAAAAACTACATAAACCACACGATCAATGCCATTTCTCAAGGGAAACTCCAATCTTGGTGGTTTTGGAGAAGCATAAATAATCAGAAGCAATATTACATATCTTTATATCTATCACAGAGGGAAATTCCACCAACAGCACAACACTGGTGAAGCCAAGGCAACCAGAAACTTCAAATCAAGAATCATATATTTGAGATGGCTTGCTATACATCACACGGAGAAAAACATGGCTTCCCCGGAGTGTTTCTCTCTCAAATCTTACATTATAAGATCAGCTCTTCTGGTGAACAGCTACCTGGTGGATGTCCATCTCCTTCAACATGACAGATCTACCGCACGAATCGCATGGTGCAGTTCTAGACCCACAATGGCTCTCATGCTCTGAGAGCCCTCTTAATCGGTCTCTCGTATCCATGGCTGAATTCCCAGCTTGAACCATGTCACCACAGAAGCGGCATGTGATGAGCCGCAGTGGACATACAGAAGCTTGGTGTTGCACCTGCACCAGATAATTGAATTAATAGTTAGATACACAAGCATAATCCTGTTTTCGGAATTTTATCAAGACGTTCGGTAAGAGAAGCAATCATCTTCATGCACTAAAATGGATGCAATATCCACTAAAGCCACTAAATGAATCAAGTGATGGCATGCTGTGTGAATGTAACAAGAAAAATAAGAAATGCAAAGCCATTTCAAGATACTGAGACGAGGGAAAAGGATTCCAGTTGTTTACCATCTGTTCCTTCTCGAGTACCACACCACAGCCACACTGAAGAGGCTCATGGAAAACCTTCATGTGCTTATTGATTTCATCCTTATGGAATGACTCCCCACACTTGTCACAGTGGATGTGGTTCTTGGCCTCGCCAACCCTCAGAACTACTCCACAACCGGGATGTTGGCAAACTAGATTGTGCCTGCTGCAATAAGCTTCGTGCAGTGCAATGCTCATACTGGGTATGAAATGCTTGCAATTTCTGCACTCAACAGTGTCGGTATTCACCGATGATGTCGTCGATCCAGCTTGCTGACCCACTTTGACAGTGCTATTATCTTGTGCACTCACTAAAACCTTATACTTAGCGGTTCCTTTGAAACCATACACACCAATGCTATAAGTTCCCACCCCCAAGTTCTTGTCTTTCGAGGTCAGGATCAATACTTTCGACCCCATGTCATGTGAAGACCACTCATGTTGGTGTCTGTTTGGGAAAATGAGCGGATGCTTGGAAATGTAAAGATCGGTATCACCATCACCAGTCACTACCTCTATCTTCACCTCAATCCTAACATCCCCAGAAGAGACAGTCTCCCAGACGAGATCATCAATCGAGAACTTATAGTAATTGTATTTTCCTTCTTCAACCATTCCAGATTCCGACACTCCAAAAGTCAGTTGCTTCAACACATGCTGATTCGCGCTATCCAAAGGTGAATCTGACCCCACTATATCGACCTCAACATCTGTCTCGAGAACTGAGACACTCGAGGAAGGTTTCAACTCAAGTACTCTCAACCTGTAAGCTAATACCCCGTGATTAACAGTGATCACATCACCCTCAGAAAGCGTAGCATGCTGCCTGAGGCTCGTTTCGAGTACAGCCTTGTGATTAGGGATGTCCGAGAAGCCAACCACATCTGGTTGAAGCTTTGCATAAATTCCTTTAGGCAACCACACATATCGAACATCAACTAAAGCACTTACAGGTGAAGGAGTGTTGTCTAGGGGAAACAGGTTACTCCATACATGAGGAGGAAGCCCGACTTGACCTTCCTCTGCAGTGAACTCCAAAGCACCAGAATGGGTTGTCTTCTGGTTCGTTTCTGAATTAGCTTCATGATGAACCACAGATAACTGGAAGTATAATGGTCCTTTATCAAACGCACCTTGATCGGATAACTCAGTGAAACAAGAAGGGGGCAATTTGATCTTATCCCCACTTCCTTGGAAACCTACAGCTTCTAACACACGTGAGAACACAATTCCTCTCCCGGCAATCAAATTCTCTTGCATTTGCTCATCTGCCTGTAAACATAAACCAGTTTCTTGTAAGGCGCACATGTAAAAGAGATTATCATGACGACACAACTAAAAGCTTAAAAACTCAAAACGATTCTGCCCGTCTAACTACTTAATCAATCAACCATCAAGGATTCCATACCGAATTCGATCAAAGTTGGGTTCTTTACCTTTTTTGAATTGAACCCAGAAAAGTCTAGATTTCTTCATGAATCTAAGAAACCAAAATATCGAGTGCAAAAGGGGTTATGGTATGAAGAAGGACGGTTACCTTGAGTTGGGCTTCGGCGGCTTCGAGCCTCCGGGATCTCTGAACAGCTTCGAGGGCTTCTCGCTGCTTGCGAGCCTCTTCTTAGGCCTTCCTATCTCTTTCGAGTCTCAATCTAGCTCTGTCTTTCCTCTCCTTCTGCTCCTTCTCTAGCTTCTCCCTCGCCCTTCTCAGCTCGAAATCCATGATCTAACCCGCGCCGGAAAGCTTCCTACTTTTCGATTGCGCCCCGATCGCCGGGAAATGGGGTTTCGAAGGTTCTCGGGGAAGGAAAGTCGGCAAGTGGTGCGACTACGAAGAAATATGGTAATTTGAGGCAATTTATTTTTCGTTATATATCGTTCTTCATTCGACCGTGTGATTTTTCAAGGTATTTGTAGGTGTGAGGTGTCTGTGTTGGAATTCTTTTCGTCCTCGGATTGACTTTGAGTTTCAGTTACCAATTTGGATTTGCGTGGAGTGGAATCCAGAAGGATCCGGGCTTTTCACTGACTTATTCATAGCAGTCCAACGTATGCAGTAGCCCAAAATATCATGGGCCCAATTGAATTGTACAACAAACTTTGGATTGTCACAGGCACAGAGTAATAAAAGCATAGAAAATTATAAGAACGTTAATCTCTCTGCCTTTTTATTCCTTCGGCACCAAGCTAGTTATTCTGCTAACTTGAATATTCGGTAGTATATACTAACTAATATCCAAAATGTATGAACTAATATCCAAGTCTGCTAATATTCAACACATCACAAACTAGTATCCAGATAGCATATATCAACTAGTATTCAATATGGATACTCTTATGTATTATCTGGATACTAATTATGTGCTGTTAAGATATTAGTTTGTGAATTTGGGATAATAGTTGATTCATGGTGGATATTAGTTAGCAAACTTTGAATACTAGTCTGTGCTCTCTAGATACTTTAGTACTTGGATATTAGTTCATGTATTTTGGATATCAATTAGTATCTGCTAACGAATCTTCAAGTTAGCAAATTAACTTTCCCCCTTCAGAACAGAGTAGGGGTGTCAGTTCGGGTCGGGTTCGGTTACCCGAACCAAAACCTGAAAAACTCGAAATCGCGAAATAAAAAATCACTGAAAACCGAACCCGATAATAACTTTCGGGTTCTGGTTACCCGAAACCCGAAAATTCCTTATTGGGTTCGGGTTCGGTTAAAGCAAAACCAAAACTCGAAAACCCGAACACCTAAGAATACGGGCTGAGTTCTATTCATTGGAGGTTTTCAGTCGGTCCCGAAAAAACAATAAGCAAAACCGAAACCAAAACCGAAAACCCCGAAACTCGAAACAAACCCGAACCCGAAAAACCGAAACTGTATATAATCGGGTCGGTTTTGGGTAAACCTGAAAAACCGAACCCGAATGGACACCCCTAGCACAAAGTACTAAAAGCATAGAAAATCATAAGAACGTTAATCTCTCTACCTTCTTATCCCTTCAGTTTGGAATTGAAATAGGATGACAAATTTGGTGCTCGCCATACTCTATTTTTGTCAATTGTTATAGAGGTTCGACTTCGTTAAATGACTTAATAGTCGACAATTATGTATCTGTATTGTCTTCTCGTTTAGAAAAAAAAATTACAAGAACGTGATGTAATAGTTGATTGTCTCATGTTTAATCATGAAGTTGAGATTCGATCTTTATCCGTGAAAATATAACTCACTCTATGGCCAATCTATTGGAGAAAATGAATTGTCAGAATCAGCAAAGGTAGTGAGGTGGATGGGCAGAGAAGCACGACGAATACTAAGACCATAGGAGATGGTGCCACAGACATAGCGCAGAAGGCGTTTAAGACACTGCCAATGATGAGATGTAGGGGCATGCATGTACTGAGAGAGCTTGTTGACGGCGTAAGCGATGTCAGGACGAGTGTAGGTGAGATACTGGAGCGCCCCGATTTCCTGCCAAAATCGGGTAGCGTCGGTGGGAGTATTAGAGAAAAAGAATAAAAATTCTTTTATTTATTTTCTCTCTAATTATTCGATTCCACCTCTCACCACTACTCAACTCCCATGTACATTTTCCCCTAAACTCTGAACAAACTCCTTTGTATCTCCTGTAAAATCTGTATAAAGTGTGGTTGAATGTAACGATGGAAATCAAGGTCTTTTGATCATAATCAGATTCTCTTCCCAACAATTCTCCTACTCTAACATGGTATCAAAGCTAGCCACGGTCAGCTAGCCACGATTGATAACACCATCACTTCAACGACAGTCTCTGCCATCATCACCTTTAATCCTGCCGCACAACTTCCTCTGAAGCTCACTCCAACCAATTTCGCCTCTTGGCGCTCCCAACTGAAAACACTGCTTATGGGTTTGGACTTATTTGGCTTCATTGACGGCTCCAAAGTCGCCTCTCCTCGCACAATCAGGGTAGACGCCGCTGTCTCACCAAATCCGACCTATCAACATTGGTTTCAACAAGATGAGATCATCCTCCATGCCTGGCATTGTTCGATTTCTAAATCGATTTACTCTTTTGTCTCTGCTGCATCTACATCTCGTGCTACGTGGTTGATCCTTGAAAAGCTCTATGCGAGCAATGCACAGTCCCGTATTATCCATTTGAAAGGAAAATTGGCTAAAACCTCAAAGGGAGATCGAGATGTCCTGACCTTTGTAAATGATCTCAAAAGCACTGCAGCTGAACTCACTCTTATCAAGGAACATGTCTCTGACATCGATCTGATCGTATTCTGCCTTCGCGGATTGGGGGAAGAATATAATGCCTTCGTCGCCGCCATCCGTGCTCGGGGACCCGGCCTAAGTCTGGAGGACCTGATTGACTCACTGGTTGAATAGGAATCAGACCTCCGAGCTCAGGCAAAGACTTCGATTCTGACAGCATTCTTCTCTCAGGGACAGCGTCATCGCGGCGGAGGGCCTTCCTTCTCTGGCGATTCGTATTTCTCTCGTTCCCAGCGAGGGTTGTCTTCCTAGCGGGTCTTCTCTCCGCGTGCCTCCTCTCCACGGGCCCAATTCATTTGCTTCCTCCAGCCAGCGCAGGCCCCTATGGTTTGTCAATTCTATGAGCGTCCGGGACATTTCGTGCGCCAGTGCTTTAAGTTGTTTCCACAAGCCCGTCACGATTATCAAGCTCTTCAAGCTCAGGCTAATCACACCACAACTAATCGTGCTTCTTCATATAGTCCATGGTTGCTTGACTCTGCGGCCTCCTATCATGTTACCTAGTAGCTAGGCAATTTATCTCTTTATTCCGACTACACTAGCCCAGATGAGATTCTTGTAGGCGATGACACAGGTTTGAAAATAACACACATTGGGTCTACTAAATTGAAAAAATTTTCTTCCTCATTTCAATTGCAAGATGTGTTATGTGCTCCTGCCATTAAGCGTAAACTTATCTCAGTTGCTAAGCTTTGTCGGTCTAACCCTATCTCGGTGGAATTTTTTGTTGATTGTTTTGCTATGAAGGATCTTCGTCTTGCCCCCAAACACGGTTCGTCTTGTTCTTGTCACCACATGCACCTCCTCTACATTCTGGCATGCCCGACTTGGTCACCCATCCACCACCTCCCTCACCAACCTCTTTTGCACTTATTCCTTGCCATTATTGTCCTCTCTCGTCAGTAATCATTGTCCTTCTTGTCTTTCCAGTAAAAGTCACAAACTTCCTTTCGTAGTTTCTTCCCTATTTAGCACTCGGCCATTTGATTTATTGTATATGGATGTTTGGGGTCCGGCTCCGATCACCTCCATTGATGGTTTTTTATTTAATTTAATCATCGTTGATCATTTTTCCCATTATACATGGTATTATCTGTTGCAAAGAAAGTCTGATGTTCTTCTAGTGTTTATTGATTTCCGCAAGATGGTTGAAAACTATTTTTCCACCACCATTCGTCGTCTCTACTCTGATGGTGGTGGTGAATTTTAAAAATTATGCTCCACGCTGGCTAGTCATGGAATCAGTCATCTCCTTACACCTCGACATACGCCTTAGCATTATGGTTTGGCCGAACTTAAACATCGCCATCTTGTCGAAACAGGTATAACTCTCCTGCATCATGCTAATTTGCCTACCTCTTTCTGGTCTTTTTCATTTTCCACAACCATCTATCTCATCAATCGTCTCCCGCTCTCTGCCTTACGTGCTCAGATTCCATTCACTACTCTCTTCAATCTTGCTCCCAATTATCACAAACTGTGTATTTGGATGTCTCTGCTACCCTTGGCTGCAACCCTACTCCTCTCATAAACTTGCCCCACGGTCTCATCCTTGCTTATTTATTGGTTACTGTCCTCAACGTAGTGCGTATAGGTGCTTTGATCCTGACACTCACCGCATTTTTTTTATCTCGTCATGTCCACTTTGTTGAAACCTCCTTTCCTGGAATGTCTTCTAACCCTTTTGTAGATGCTCCTTCGGTGGACTTTTGGATCCATGATACCGGCCCACACATCACTCACATCCCTATCACTGGGCAGCCTTCCCCGACGGCATCTCGCCCGACCCGCTCCCCTTCAGGATCTGGTCTCCCCTGCATCGTTGCTCCCTCACACGATCAGTCTGCTCATGACCCTACTTTTGCTTCTGGGCTCGTGCCTGGCCCTCCCGCTACTGTTGGGCCGTCTCCGAATCCAGAGCTTGAGACATCCTCGCCCCATCCCGCAGGCACATCCTCCACTACTGGGCCATCTCCGCATCCAGGGCTTGAGATATCCTCGTCCCCTCCTGCGGGTCCATCCTCCGTTGCTGGGTCGTCCACGTCCATAGGGCTTGGGCTTTCCACGCCCCTTCAACTACAACAGGGCCAACTGCTCCTCCTACTCTCCTTCGGCCTCATCGCATGCGCACCCAGGCCCAAGACGGTATCTACAAACCGAAAAAGGTTGTTTTCAGCCAACTATACCACCCTCTCCCCTCCCTTGGAACCCCGCTCTGTTCAAGCGGCTATGCAATATTCAGAATGGGATCAAGCTCTTCGCAAGGAGCATTCAGCTCTACTCCGCAACCACACATGGGATCTTGTTCCCCGGCAGCCTCACTTTAATGTTCTTGGTAACAAGTGGGTCTATCATATAAAGCATCACTCTGACGGCTCGATCAACCTTTTTAAATGTCGTCTGGTTTCCAAAGGTTTTCATCAACGTCCGGGTGTGGATTTTCAAGATACCTTCAGTCCTCTTGTCAAACCTGTTACTGTTCGAACTGTTTTCACACTTGCTCTCTCTCAGAATTGCCCAATCAAACAGTTCGACGTTAACAACGCCTTTCTTCAAGGGCCCCTCACGGATGAAGTATACATGGTCCAACCTCCTAGGTTCATCGACCCCGATCATCCCACTCATATTTGTCGTCTCTGCCGTGCCATCTATGGCTTGCACCAGGCTTCCGTGCTTGGTACACTGCTCTTAGCTCCTTCCTTCTCGAGTTCGGTTTTCGGAAAACTGAATCTGATGTCTCCTTATTTTTCTATCATCACTTCGGCATTATCTTGTATTTTCTTGTCTATGTGGATGATCTTTTGCTCACCGGGAATGATCGTGCTACTCTCTCTGCCTTTCAATTGGCCTTGGTGAACAAGTTCTCCCTCAAAGTCCTCGGTGATGTCAATTATTTTTTGGGCATTGAGATCATTCCTACTGCCTCTGGTTATGTTCTTTCACAACATAAGTATATGACGGATATTCTCACTTGCTTTCATATGTTGGATGCTTCTCCGGTCGCCATCCCCTTGCTTCCCCTGTTACCCTTTCCTTGCGCGATGGCACTACTTCCACCGACGCTACCTAGTTTCGGCAGGTAATCGGGGCGCTCCAGTATCTCACCTACACTCGTCCTAACATCGCTTACGTCGTCAACAAGCTCTCTCAGTACATGCATGCCCCTACATCTCATCATTGGTAGTGTCTTAAACGTCTTCTGCGCTATGTCTGTGGCGCCATCTCTTATGGTCTTACTATTCGGCGTGCTTCTCTGCCCATCCGCCTCACTGCCTTTGCTGATTCTTACTATGCTAGTAATCTAGATGATCGCACCTCCACCTCTGCCTATCTTGTCTATTTAGGCTCCACCCTTATCTCCTGACGCTCTCAGAAGCAAAGAACAGTTTCCCGATCTAGTACAGAGGATGAATATCCCGCCATCGCTCTTGCCACTGCCAAGTTAGAGTGGGCTTAGAATCTCTTGACAGAGCTCCATCGACCATTGTCCTCGACACCCACGCTCTACTCCTATAACCTGGACGCTACCAGCTTCAGCTCCAATCCCATGTTCCACTCTCGCATGAAGCATATGGCTTTGGACTACCATTTTGTTCGTCAACTGGTCCAAACCAGACGCCTCACCATTCACTATTTTCCCACTGCTCACCAGCTTGTTGACACTCTCACCAAACCGCTTCCCGCTCCGCATTTCCTCCTCCGGTCCAAGATTGGAGTAGTTGACACCTCCTTCATCTTGCGGGGGCGTATTGAAGAAAAAGAATAAAAATTCTTTTATTTATTTTCTCTCTAATTATTTGGTTCCACCTCTCACCACTACTCAACTCCCCTGTACATTCCCCCCTAAAATCTCAACGAACTCCCTCGTATCTCCTGTAAATCTGAAAGTGTGGCTGAATGCAACGATGGAAATCAAGGTCTTTTGATCACAATCAAATTCTCTTCCCAAAAATTCTCCTACTCTAACACAATCATTTGCCAATTCGTGTAACTACCATGGTAAGTGGTTAATCACTATTGTCGACGGTTATGCTCCGGTAACATAAAAAAAACATAGAACTTTGACACTCACATGATAAATGAATCACTATTTAATGAATCACTATTTGATTTCATACATTTAGAGCTCGCAATGATGTAACTTTTGGAGCAAAAATTTTCTTAGTGTTTTCTATTTTAGATTGCACTCAACGTCTCAATCAGAAGTCTCATTTATAGATTAGTTTAATCATGATATGACATTAAAATTGGGTATTAGAATCTGACTAATAGTGGCAATACCACTAGTTTTGAACCTGGGGTTTCAGGTTCAAATCACTTAAATAGTACCTAATCACAAAAAGTACAACCTATATCATCCGTATCTAAAACAAATTATGAGGAAATTTATCAAATTGAAAAAAGTATATTATACAATCGTATTACTTTCGGTTCGATCCAAATATTGATCAACCCGATTAAATCTTTTTTACACCAAACCGTTACATTCACAGAAACTCAACCACGACTTCCTCTCGTTTAAGTCGTTAGTCATTACATTACATTTCCTTAAGAGAGAATCCATCATCTTTGTGCCTTCTTTTCATCTATCAAGAAAACTCAAGCCATTGAATTGTGATGGTTGTTTTTGTTAACATGAAAATCGACTGACAATGAGTTCCCTCTTCGATAGAAAGTGTCAGGATTCCAGGCCTCACTGACGGATGAAATTGCGGTCAGGGCTATCACTACAGACCTCATGCTCGGCCGCACTTCAGGATTCTCCCTCGTGCATGCCCTCCCAAGCTCTGCCATCTGCAAATTTTGGCCACCAAGAAAGAAAATTGCGTTCTCATACCCCAAGAAAGCATCGTTACATGATCGATAACCATATTTTTTTTCCTTTTGTACCTTTCGGACCGAATCCAATGGGTATTCATGGCCAAGGCTGGGATCAATCAAGTTCATCAACTCTTGTTCACTGCAAGGTTGGTTCTTCAGCACTTCCCCAAACTGTAGTGAGAAACAAATTACAAGGCGCTCATGTCGTGATTCATCATGTACAATTACATATTTACAATATCATCTTAATAAAACTATATCCAATTATTAACGTTTAAGAAAACGTTAATGCGCCTGTCTAGACATTTGAAGTAAAAATAACACTTTGTACTATATTATGAATGAAATAACGATTTAAAAACCAACCACACTTCAGTTCAAATTATTAGTTAATTAGTTAAAACTTCTAAACGTGAAAATAGCTCGTAAGTTCATAGAATCATACCTCAATAGTTTTAAAGTTCCTAAACTATATATTGAAGAAATTAACAAGATTGAGTTTGTAGTTAATGTTAATTTCTCCCTTAGATATTGACCGCCTATGTGTTGCCTTACTCCTTCGTCGCGTTCTCAATACCTAACTCATAGTCAAGGCATTTTGACATTGTCTAGAGTCTAAGCACGACTAGGAGTAAGTTTAAGCGTGTCTTTTTGAATCATGACAATAATCGAACACATTTTTTGTACAATAGGCCAAAACAAAAAATAATAAATAATAAACGATCTAGTAAATAAACATGATTGTTTCTCACCTTCTAAAACTTAGATCTTTTTATCAATCCATATGATTATCTTTTATTAAAAAAAACATGCTTGTTTAGACAATTAAAATCACCATAAAATGCAATAATTAACCTTGCGATCAACTGAAAAAATAAGCAAAAATGGGTGATAGACATGCATAGAGAAAAAGGAGGGGGGGAGAGAGAGAAGCAAAGAGATCTGACCAGTGCAACAAGGGTGGTTGCTTCAATTTGGGATGACCCGTTTGGTGAGATGATAGCCTCCTTCCCAGAAATCAGTTCATAAAGGATGACACCAAATGCATACACATCCACTTTAGAAGAAACGGCCTTCATGTGAATATATCTGCATCACGATGAGGTAAAAATTTACATGATTCACTAATACGAAATGTGTTAGTTATATCCAAGAGAAAAGTTTTACTTATACTTGATAAGACTATGTGACTTCCGGTCAAGTCATAACAAAAAATAAAGCCTGGTTGACACTTACTCTGGCGGCATGTACCCAAATGTGCCCACAAGAACTTGTGAAGGGACTAACGTGCCTTCTATCTTGGCCAGTTTTGCCAATCCAAAGTCTGCAACTTTAGCTCGCAAGTTGTTATCGATCAAGATGTTCGCCGACTTGATGTCCCGGTGGATGTACACCGGAATCGTGTGCTCGTGGATGTACTCCAGCCCTCTCGCCGAATCCAGAGCAATCTGCAGCCTCGAAGACCAGGACAGAGGTTCTCTATCTGTAAAAGAAAAAAATTCAAACGTTACATTGAATCCTTATGTAACAAGGACTACCTAATCTAGAAAAAAGAAAAGCAATCATACCAGAACCACGTAAATGTTGCGATAAGTTGCCATTCTCCACGTACTCGTAGACGAGAAACAGAGAGCCCTTGATACAATACCCAATTAATCGAACCTAAGATTTGTACATTAACAAATTAAAGCACTAATCATGATTTAGCCATGGCTAAGCAGAGCAGGGAGAAATATTAATATGCGACTTTGTAATCGAATTTTTGTATCTTGATTTTACCAGGGTGAGGTGATGAACATTGGTTAAGACCTTGAGCTCAGCCAAGAACTCCTTAGACGCTTCCATCTTCATCTTCTTGATTGCGGTTTTCTGCCCTCGGAGCTCGGCATAGTAAACTTCGCCGAATCCACCTTCGCCGATCTTCTTACTCAAGCTGAAGTCGTCGGTGGCAGCAGCGAGTTCTTCGTAAGTGAACTCCACGGACTTGGCAACAGTGACGCCACGTGACGGAAGCGGAGACTTTCTGGCCCGCGCTGCCTCCGTCCGGCGGTGGCGACTGGATTTTCTCCTGTAAACTCTGGCGGCGGCGAAACCGGCTAGTAACATGACAATTACTACACCGGCTGCTACGGCTATGCCTAATCTCAGACCGTTGATAGCTGATACAAATGGAAGAAGTAATTAGCAGGTGTTCTTTATTTTTGCATTTCCATCATCCATTTTGTTGTTTATGTCAAAAGAGTCCACCTTTTCTGCAAATTTGGGGAAACGGGGAAAAAATTAGTACATCAAACATCCTGACCTGAGGGATCCAAAACATGAACAGTATAGGGTTCAGTAAGTTATGTCACCTTGATCCCAGCGGCCGGTAGCTTCCATCTGCATCTGCAAAAGCAAAAGAAGACGGAGGTCAGCCTTCAAATAACCACATGGTTAATATCTACCAAAAAGAAATATGTGGGTTTTTATGAGTTGGTTAATTAAACAATAAGCGTAATACAATTTCGATTTGGTGATGTTAGCAATTTTAAATGTCGTTGGAACAAGCACATCTACCAATCTCTATTTCTTTATGTTTGGTTCTCGTAGTAGTGTTCTTTTAGGTGAAGGAGATTTTTAAATAGGGACAAAAAAATGTTATATTGATTTTCATCCAGACTCGGCGCAATCATATTTCGCGGAATTCAAACAAAAAACATAACAGAAATATAGGTTTTGGTATGTGATTGCAGTAGAGAGACAAATTTGACTTGAAAAATAATAGGACTAGTATGGATCCAGACTCTAGACCACCAAAAATCATCAGCTCACCTCTCATCGGGATGTAAACCAAGCCACTCCCCCGCCCAAAATCCACACCTTCATTGTACCGCCGGACCAACTCCGACGAGACATTGCTCCACGCGGCAACCGAACCGAAATTATCTTCCGGCCGAAGAGGGTAAGTGACGAACAACCCGAAATCCCTCGACACGTCAGCGTTTCCACACGAGCAATTCACCGTGACGTTGACCACCCCTGAATCGGGCAGTCGACTGGAATTGTAGGCGTTGAACCTCTCCAGCGCCTCCTCCGTGGTCAGGTTGGCGTATTTCGCCGCGATCCCCGCGTACGTGTCGTTGACCGCCAGGTTGTAGCGGAAAACGTGGCCGAGGAATCCGCCGGAGAGGCAGTCGCAGGGGAAGGGGACGTTGACCCTTGTGTTGGTCTGGATGAGGTCGCCGTTGGCTAGCTGGCGGTTGAAGCTCATGATGGGACCCACCAGGACCGGGTCGAGGATGCGGGACTGCATCAGGTCCCGGATTCCGGTGAGGTTGGTGCCGTCAGAGATGAAGAAGGAGGCTAAGGCCAGGTCGCAGCCGCGGGTGCATGATTGGGAGCAGACGGAGGTGATGAGTAGTGTTAATAGGAAGAGGAACAGGGGAAATTTGAACTGGTGATCGGAATCCATGGAATAGGGGTAGAGATTTTTTGGAGGGGAGGTGAGAGTTGAATTTTTTTTTTGGATGTATGGGTCTGTTAGGAGTGGAAAGCTTTGAGTTGTGCCGGGATTTGAGACTTTTTCTCTGCTGGAGTTGGTCGCCTGATCCATGGCTGTCTCTTCTTGACGTTGATTTTTGGGTTTTATAAGGAAACTTTGCACTTAGACACCTAAATTTTCTATGAACTTACAATTTGGCTCTTGTATTCTTGTAAAATTTGTGATCGCATTGTCGAATTTATTGTTTTTAAACAAGAGGTTGTCATTATTAATTATCGACTAATCCTTTTTTGGACACTATTGATTTCTTTCTGTTGGGATGCTTGTCTTGTCTGAACTCTGAACCAAGAGCACCGAAGACAAGTCCTACCACTTAATGATACTAGTTTTTTGACCCGCACTCTGCCGCGCTAGAAACTAATAATTTAATTTAAATCAAATAATTTATAAAATTATTCCGGTAAGATAAATATTTAAGTTTCATGTGATGTTTTAATCATTACGAAGAACATACGTCATCCGTTTGGTTAAGTGATACATTATAAATAAATATTTCTACATAAGGTTTACGTAGTGTTTAATTATTATAGAAAAATTACATATTATTTTTTTAATTAATACATAAATGATTATTTGTCGATAAACTTTACATAGTGTCTTAATCAATCAATAAGTAAAACTCATGTAATATTTATAGAACGTAATTACATAAATGTTTCGTAATGTATGATCTAATAGTATAATCAAGTTATAGTAAGTAACATCGACGAATTTTAAATTTAAGTAAATTTTATTGAATTTTGTTACATAAATATTTCATAATATGTGGTCTAATAATAATTGCTTATGAATTTTAGACTTATCGTTGAAGTGGTTGTAGAGAATAAAACTCATATAATTGCTTATGAATTTTAGACTAATTGTAGAAGTGGTTATAGAGAATAAAAATTATATGAATAATATTGCAAAAAAGGAGAAAAAGGGCTTATGGTAAAATTGGGTATATGGGATAGAACCCTATTGTGAAAATTACCAGTGGAGAAAAAAATATCTTATTTTCTCTTAATGAACCGTAATTGCTTATGAATTTTAGACTTATCGTTGAAGTGGTTGTAGAGAATAAAACTCATATAATTGCTTATGAATTTTAGACTTATCGTAGAAGTGGTTGTACCGAATAAAAATCATATGAATAATATTGCAAAAAAGGAGGATAAGGGCTTATGGTAAATTTGGGTATATGGGATAGAACCCTATTGTGAACCGTACCCGTGCAGAAAAAATAGCCTATTTTTTCTTAATGAGCAGTGAAAAGTGCTTGTGAAAAGTACCCGTGGAGAAAAAATATCTTATTTTCTCTTAATGAACAGTAGTTGCTTATGAATTTTAGACTTATCGTTGAAGTGGTTGTAGAGATTAAAACTCATATAATTGCTTATGAATTTTAGATTTATCGCAGAAGTGGTTGTACCGAATAAAAATCATATGAATAATATTGCAAAAAAGGAGGATAAGGGCTTTATGGTAAAATTGGGTATATGGGATAGAACCCTATTGTGAACCGTACCTATAGGTGTCAATCGGGCGGGTTCGGGCTGGGTTCAATCGGGTTCGGGTTCAAACGGGTTGCGGGTTCGTCGGGTTGCGGGTTCATCGGGTTCGGGTTCATCGGGTTCGGGTTCAAACGGGTTGCGGGTTAGTCGGGTTGTGGGTTCATCGGGTTCGGATTCAATCGGGTTGCGGGCAAATCGGGTTGCGGGTTCATCGGGTTTTGGGTCGGGCGGGTTGCGGGCGGGTCGGGTTTCGGGTTGTTCGGGCCAGCGCATCAAGTAACTTAACTCATTACTCATTACCAACTTACACATTTTATTACACTAATTTAAAATATTTTCTCAACTTTTTAACCAATTTATTTCTACCTCGTATATATATACTTTATTTTTTTGAAAAAAACTAGTCAAAATGTTAAATCAATTTGTATGACTTGCAAACTTGTTATGTAATTAATCATAATTGGTAAAGTATTATAGCTAGAAGCAATGGTGATATCAATATTTGCAACCAAAAGACACCATTAATTGTTTATTTGATATTTTAGTATTAATTCAGTAGTAATTGGATTAAAGTATCTCGTTTAGTATAACCATGCAAATCTAGTATTTTGCGTGTGGTATTTGGCAAAAGCATAGTGATAAAAGGAGTTATTTCAAAATAACTCGTTGCCCAAATAACTTTAGTAAACTGTTGCCAAACGAGTTATTTGTAAAATTGTTCGAATTATCCTAAAAATTGAACCATTAAAGATTAACTATCAAATTTAGTAAAATTATTGTGACTTCAATCATAACTTACTCAATAGCATATATCATATACACTTAGCTTTACCCTCAATCAACAACATTAAGTTAGTATATGTTGTTGATTGTATACCCTAAACCATCAATACATTATACACTAACCACATAACCTATACCCTAATCATATGTCCTTGAGTTGTGATTTTGCTAGTATAGTTAATTTAAAAGTGAAATTCATACTTTGATTTTCAAAACATAGATAAAAAGTGATATTTGCCAATTGTTATACCCTAACCATATATCCTATACTTTACACCACATACCTTGTACCCTAACCACGTACCATAAACATAAATTAAAAAGGGATCTCCTGCCGTTAAAGACTTCAAGTGAACATATGTTAATAAAAAACTTAGAACCGTCAAAACCATCAATATCTTATACCCTAACCATATACACCCTAAACCATATGTACCTTATACCTTATACCCTAACCATATACTTTATATCCTAAACAACGAACCGTCAAATATTACTTATCAAGTTTAGTATAAATTGTTGTAACTAATGGTTAATTTATTTATTAGCCCATAAAAAATTACATACATATATACATATTAGCCTTCAAAGCATATAAGAATAATTTTAACTAGTCATGCCCTCCATATAAAAGTTAAAGATTCATATTTCAAAAGTTAAAATTATGAAAAACCAAAAAATTGAAAACACCAAATTTATTTCCTTATTTCTTTTCACAAAAATACTAAAATTTTCCTCCTTCTTTCTCCTTCCATACATTAGAAAAACTCAATTTTCCTTCCTCTTTCTCTTCCATAAAATTGAAAGAACCAAATTACCCTCTTCTTTCCTTCTACAAAAAGTTGAAAAGTCAAAAGTTTCCCTCCTTATTTCTCTTTCATAATCAAAAGAATCAAACTTTCCCACTTCTTTCTCTTCCACATATCAAAACCACCAAAATTCCCACTTGTTTCTTTTCTAAAAAATTTAAAGAACCAAATTTCCCTCTTCTTTCTCTTCCCAAAAACTTGAATACACCAAAATTTCCCTCTTCTTTTAAAAACATCAAATTACCAAATACATTACTTTACTTTATTTATATTTAATTGATAATTTTATTGAATAGTTAAACTAACCAAAATTTTAATTTATATATTATATTAATATTTTCATGATCTAAAGTGACTTTCATGTTTCAATTTTTGTAATTTTCTTAAAAAACGTAATATCAAGTGAGTTTCATATTTTTAAAATTTCTTATACGAAATGAAAAAATAAATTTACTTAAGTTTAGAATGAAAAACTTTATTTTGAAAAACTATGTATTGTATATTTTTATAATTATTCAAGTGGATTAGATGAAATTCGGGTTGAGTCGGTCGGGTTACGGGTTAGTCGGGTTCGGGTCAATCGGGTTCTGGGTTAGTCGGGTTGCGGGTCAATCGGGTTCGGGTTAATCGGGTTGCGGGTTAGTCGGGTTGCGGGTTAGTTGGGTTGCGGGTCAATCGGGTTGCGGGTCGGGCGGGTTACGGGTTGTTGACTTTGAGTCAATTCGGGTTGCGGTCGGGTTGCGGGTCGGGTTGATCGGGCGGGTTAATCGGGTCGGGCTATGTTTTGACACCTATAACCGTACCCGTGCAGAAAAAATAGCCTCTTTTTTCTTAATGTGCAGTGAAAAGTGCTTGTGATTTTAATTTATATAATAATGGGGGTAGAGACCTTGAATTTCATCCGGAGACGACTTTAGTTCCTCATTTGATAAATCAATATCAATTTTTTAACAAAATATAATCATATTGATTGAATGAAAGATAAGAGATTACATCCCGAAACCAACCCAGACATAAAAATAAAAAATATGACACGAGGTCGGAGGCAAAGAAAAGACCTTCCGAGCCACAGGATGAGCTACCCTATTGCTAATCAAACCTACCAATCGAACATGATAATCAATATCGTATCATCTTTCTAAATTATAAATTTGTACATTTTTGTTGTTCTCTTTTCACCATTCAACTTATATAGCTAGATCTGATGTAGCTTACAATTCAAGAAAGACAAAACTTAGGGGAAAAGTAAGTACAGGCCGAAAAGGGTAAAAGTCTGAAATAAAAAAATTAGGTACTACTTGGCATTTTGTCAGAAACGACGTCACTCCAGGATCGTTTCTTCACATCTGTTGATGGTGGTACGACGTTGCTTATACTCATCTTCTTCTTCCCTGCAGACGAGCCTGCTCTGTTCCCAACCGTTGGGGCGGCGTTAACATCCAGTTGTTGAACATGCCAGTTAAGTGATGTTGCAATGGCTAAGTACAGTCTGATTATTGTCATTTTGACTACAAGAGCAAATATATCTTGGTAGTCGACTCCTTCTTGTTGACTATAGCCTTTGGCTACAAGTCTAGCCTTCTGCCTTTCTAGACTGCCATCTAAGAGATGTTTGTTCTTATGGACCCACTTGTTACCAACTGCCTTCTTCTGAGGAGAGAGTTCAACCACGTCCCAAGTGTGGTTGGCTTCCAAAGCCTTGGTCTCAACTGCCATAGCATCGTTTCGTTCAGTGTATTGAATGGCTTCCTTGTAGGTTTCAGGTTCTTTATGGGAAGAGATGCTTAAAACAAAGTGCTTGTGAGTAGAGGAAAGAGTAGAATAATCAAGTACAGAAGAGAGGATAGGTGATACTCGGAGATTGCAGCTGACTTAGATGACTGGTGGAAGAAATATGCTAGAGCAGGTTGCAATGATAATGTTGTAGGTGGGTAGGAGGTTTCATGATTCTGGTTGATTTTTTGAGAGGAAGTTGAGGGACTGTTGAAGAGAAAAGGTGATGGAGGAGATGATGAATTTGGGAGAGAGTCATGGTCATCATCTAAATCAAAATGTAAGTCATTGAGGAATTGTTCATGTTCTGGAGATGGATTAGGCTGGATCAGAGGGGTGGAATAGGTTGGGATATGATCATATGATCTAGATTGGATTTGTGAAAGGGGAATATATGTTCATGGAATTGAACATTTCTAGAGATAAAAACATCATGAGTAAGGAGATCATAGATTTTGTAACAACTCAAAAATTTGTTTGGTCACAGAAGTGCTAGAAGGGAAAGGAAGTCTAGTCTGTCTAGCAAAATGACAGACATCACAGGCAATAGAACTGTTTGTATATATCTCTGGACAAAAAGTTTTCAAAATTGTCACTTTCTAATGGGAAATATGTCCTAATCTATGGTGCCAAAACATCAAAGTCTTGTATGCTAGCAGCCGAGATATGTTTTGGTTGAGTGTTATGTACAATATTCTCTAGGTGATAAAGGCCATAGGATAGCTTAGCAAACCAGTCATTCTCCTCAGCTGCATATCCTAGATCAAGCAGACATCATAGAAGATGGTCAAGCAAAGGGATTTGTCTTTGGTCAGCTGACTGACATATATGATGTTGAAACTAAATTGAGGGACAATCAAAACTTCTTGTAAAATTAGTCCAGCAACACTAGTGACAGTGCCTATATGTGTTGCTTGAACCTTATCTCCGGTGGGTAGGGTGATGAAAATGTTGCGTATGCTTTTGTAGTTATTAGGTGGCTAAAAGAACAAACAATGTGGTCAGAAGAACTTGTATTAAGGATCCAGGTTTGGTTATGTGGTGATTTATCACTCACATTGAGCATAAATTTACCTGGAGGAATCTGCTGGCTTGTTGATGAAACTAGCAGTTATAAAGGATGTGTTGCCACTAGTTGAAGACCTTTGATTACCTTTTTCATTAATTTTGGAGATTAGCTTCATGTAATCTGCCTTAGTAAGCTTTAGTTACCGGTGCAAATCCTCTGCACTTGCTATGTTTGCCTGAGCTTTGCTTCTGCGACCTCCCATTGGGTTTGGATAGCCATGTTTGCTGAAGCATTTCTCCTCACTGTGTCCTTGTTTCTTGTAGTAGGTGCACTCCAGAACCCTTCCTAAAGGGTTGGGTTGGCCTTGAATTCATGCATGGTGGCCAAGAAACTTGCAATGAGTGCCAGGTTTTCTCAGTGTGTCCAAGAAACTTGCAATGAGTGTAGCAACGTCTTGGCCTTCTGATTTGAGAGTTGGTGCTGCTATGTGCTGCCAAACTCACACTTTCCACAACAAGAGGTTTATTTTTTGTGTTCCATATTGTTGTCTTTCATGTTGCAACATCCTTTGGAAGACTCGATCAATGGATGGCAGTCGGCAGGGCATCACCAAACAGAACTTGAGATCTAATACTTGAAAAATTCTCATTCAAACGCCTTAGAAAGTGTATGACATAATTTGTGTCTCTGTTAGCAACACTAGCCTCGCTGCTGCACATGTTTCTCGACTAGTTGGTGTGCAGGTGCAGGGTTGATGAGGCTGATAATTATCCAACTCATCTCTAATAACAATTAGGTTGCCATAATATTTTGTGACATACTGACTACCTTGTTTGAGATTGCTTAGAGTTTTAGTGAGTTCAGTAATTCTTACCACATGTCCTTGGCCATACCTTGATCTCATACTTCTCCAGGCTTCAAGGGAGGTCTTGCAGGACATAATTAATTGTTTTACGGATGCTGGCCTCAACTGCTTCTTGGATCCATGAAAGGACCATGACATTGTTCCTATTCTAGGATCATGCATTCTGATGATTCTTTCCTGGATGTGGGATTGAACCAATGACGAAACCAAGCTTGTTCTTGGATCCCAAAGCATTCAACATGGCATGGCTCCAGTCATTGTAGTTGGTGGTGGTAAGTTTCTCTCCCACCAAGATCAATCTTGGCTGCTCAGAACCATGCAGATAGTAGGGATTTGCCATGGGATCTACATTGGGCTGTGCATTTGCAGCAACATTTCTACCTGCATTTGGTCGGGAATTTTCAGCCATGTCTGCGGTGGCTAGGGTTTAGAAAGGCTTTGATACCATAACAACAGTTTTTGATTGAGAAAGCCTAATCACCTAAGGTGTTCTCATTTCACAGCTCAGCTTATATAGCTGGATAGGAGAGTACAAGAGTCTGATGTAGCTTACAATTCAAGAAAGAAGACAAAACTTAGGAAAATAGTAAGTACAGGCTTAAAAGAGTAAAAGACTGAAATAAGAAATTTAGGTACTACTTGACACTTTGCCAGAAACAACGTCACTCCATGTTCGTTTCTTCGCGTCTAGTGATGGTGATACGACGACGCTTAGGTTTGTCTTCTTCTCCCCTGCAGATGAGCATGTTTTGTTAAGAACCATTGGGAATTTGAAATTTGGTGGTGGAAAACCTTCGTTTTCCCATGATACATCTTCACTTGATCGACGGAGTAGTGCATTTCAAGAACTATTCCTATCTCTCCACAAATTTTTGTCACCGTGGTCAAGATCGAACAACCAAATCCTAAATAAATATTCATATTATATTATCAATTATAATTCCAAGTTAACGAATTATAAATCAGCGATTATTTATTGACTTGTCCTTCATTTTCCCCCTTGTCCTTTAATATCATTGATATAAAAACTTATCCACAAGGTAAATCTCAGTTGTTTATATCAACCGAAATCCAGAGTCGAGAGTATTTAACCTCACACTTCTTGGAAGTCCCAAAAAACCCGAAGGATATAATTGTGAGTTCGTATATAAGGACGGAACGTGAATTATCTTTTATCTGTGTTGTATATTTCAAGACAATTTCAGCTCTTTATTTTAGGGTAAATTGCAAGGCTGGTCACTGAGATTACGAAAAACGTTTATGTTTGATCACCAAAAATATATAATTTCATTCGTGGTCATTGGAATTAATCAAACAGTCCAAGTTTGGTCACTCTCCGTTACCTTCTGTTAACTCCGTTAATTTTTTGCTGACGTGGCTAACAGAAGTGTCTAATCAGCTAAATTTAACAAAAAAAATAATAAAAAAATCCAACCTGCCACGTCATTAAAATCAGCCACATAAGATAACCGACTCTTGACCCGACGCTTGACCCGACCCTTCCTCTATTGACCCAATTGATAAAAAATAAACCCTACCTCCCAACTCATAAATCAGATCGCAAGTAGATCTCCCAACTCCCAAATTTCTCCACTCCAACTCCACCCTCACGTCCCATTCCTCAATCCCAAACTCTCCTCATCGCTCTCCATCTTCTCCATTCCCTCCTTCAACCTCTGCACCCATGGCAGCGGAACCGCCGCTTCGTCGTCCTCTCCATCGCGGCAACCGACACCAAGCACACCGTCCTGGTGGCGGAGAAGCTCAGGGCAGTCGGGCTTGATCTCCTCAAGGAGTTCTCCAACATGGATTGCTCCTATAACTTCTCCCCCTCGGATCAACTACTTCGCAAATCGCAAGGCCTCCTCTGCTGCCGCCTCTCGCCTGCACAAACGAGCTCAGATCTGAAATAAAATTCATTGATCCCCTATTTCGATTACTTCGAATTCGGTTGCACAAACACCATGCCCCATTCCCCAATACCTTATCCATCAGTCGCCCATCAAGTTCTTGGTGCTCTGCATCCTCTCTATCCACACCTCTCAATCGACGCAGACTTTTATTTTATAGAAAATTCTATAAATCAAAGATAACACACGAATAACCCCCACCAAATGCCAAACCCACTAGAACCCTAAAACCAACTCCATTTTTGTTCTTCCTAGCGACAGGAACAGAGGTAGTAGGAGCAAGGAATCGTTCCTGGTGGAAGCAAAATCCAAGGAGTGGGCGGCTAACCGACCGGTGGAACCGGATAACCCAAAAGTGGCCTCTTATATAGGGTTGGTTCGGGTCGGGTTTGAATGATGTGGCTGGTCGACTTTTTTTTTAAATCAAAATTAGTTGATCAGATACTTCTGTTAGCCACGTTAGCAAAAAAACTGACGGTGTTAACGGAGACTAACGGAAGGTAACGGAGAGTGACCAAACTTGAATTGTTTGATTAATTCCAATGACCACGAATGGAATTAAATATTTTGGGTGACCAAACATGAACATTTTTATTAATATCAGTGACCAACATTGCAATTTACCCCTTTATTATTGAGGGTTGCTATTTGTCGCCCTAAAAATCCTTATTCGTCGCCCTAATTAAGTTAATTTTACGGTAATGCCCTTAGTTCATTTATTTATAGTTCAAACATTTAAACTCAAAACAAAAATTACAAAATTACCGAAAATAAAAAACAAACTTAACACAAAACAAATTTATAAATTACAATGAGCATAAGAATAAATATCACAATCATCCATGAAAAAGACATCACAGCATTATACTAAATCAAAATAACAAATTACAGTGGGTTGATGCTTTACACAACAGCTTCACCCCCTTAATGCGTTTTTGTCAATGCATTTGGAGATGGAAATGGCGGAGCAGGCTTGGCATATTGGCAAGAATCGCCAAGCCGTTAGTCAACAACTGCTTGCAGTCCTCGATCTTCGCCTTCACCCCTTCCGGAACCTTTGCCCCCATTTCCTCCAACCCGTCCACACAAGTCTCCTCGTCGGTCATCGCTGCATTTATCCACGTCTTCAGGTCGTCCATCTTCGCCGGCATCAGCACCTTCCCATCCGTACTAGCGCCAATCTCCATAGCCGCCAGCGATTAGTTCAGGTTACTGACCCGCTCCTCCAACTGATCCACGAAGTCATCCACTGCGACCTTCGGTCCCCACTCGTCGCTCGATGAATTCCGGAGCAGGGAAGCCAGATCCGCGAACCTCTTCAGGGATAATTGGATCGAGACCTTGAGGATCTCCTCCAGCTCGGTTACCGGTTTCAGATTTCTGGCGACGGCGGAGGATATAGTCGCGAAGCAGGAGTCCGAGTGCGGGGTCACGTTGCAGACGAAGCCGAGGAAGAAGAAGCTTTTTTCTCGGCAATTGTTTAATTTAGGGATAATAGAAATTTTGTTGAGGGGTAAATATGTCAATTTAGTATGTTTTAGGGCGATAAAATTTAAATTTTAGGGCCATGAATAACGATTCAGTTATTATAAGTCATTATCGTTTCGTTTCTCTAAATTTTAAATTCTTTTCATTTTTCATATACCTTTACTTAGTCGACACAGCCGTGCATCTTAAGGGTTACTCTCATCTCTCCACTGATTCTAGTAACCTTGAAGAAAGGTCAAACTAGAACGCAAAACGCATTTTCTTATTTCATTTTCTCTGGTCTAGTTTATTAGTTTTCTTGCTTATCTAATCCGCTCTAACGATAATGTACCCAACGTCAGAGCCTAGACTATTTGACGACCCAGCCCTTAGTTTTTGGTGTCCCTAAGACCCCAAGGATTTAATTGTGGGTCCGTATAACATTAGAGACCGCAGAGTGAAATTTTCTCCCTCTGTCTTGTATTTTTTTAATATGTCGTTGACAATAACATAGTTGGTAAGCTTCATTTTCTCAATGTCCTATCGATGGATAAGAGTATGGAAAGTAGTACATATTATGGTGCCTACATTCATTTTTCAATGACGAGTCGAGATGACAAAATCAGTTCGCAGGCTTACTTACCGTGTGAAAATGGGCAGCTACCGAGAGAGAGTCGTGAAGGATATGGAAAGTGAGCTTAAAATCTTTGGAAAAGGATCAGGTGGCCGACGGGAGATGCCAATAGACTAAGACGACAAACAGAAGCTCCGAATTAGTGGTCAATTTGCTCATAAATATATGCCTACTTATTGACTGCACGAGTCATATTCATATCTAGATATTTGAAGGTAGGTCGGATACTCGGTGGCTCACCACCAGGTTACCATGTTATTTGGGTAAAATCCCTCAATTACCACTTAAATTTGAGAATTGGATTAGACATTAATTTTAAATAGGGCATCGGGTACTACTTAACTCTATTATATGTGCACCCGGTACCACTTAACTTTACTATTAAGTGCATTCCATTAAAGTTGATAGATATTCTTGGAATATTCTGTTTTCTAAATTTCAAAATTGGTCTTACTACTTTTCTTATTGTAAAAAATCATTTGGACTTATGAAAAATATCATTTTTTATTGTTTAGTTGGAATCCTCTTTTGACGACTCTCATACCAAACCAATGTTTGAATAAAAAATTTAGAATCAATTATTATTATAAGTATTTTCAATCATATGTGTTCTAATAATTGAATTTTTACCTAAAGCAAATATATTCTATGAATTCTATCTCGATATAAATAATTTGAGGATGTTATATTTAGTTCTCTTTACACCATGATGATTTTGTCTAATTTTCCATGTCAAATTTCCTTGTAATTCTCTTATATTATATTGTAGATATTCCATATTCGTTAATTTACTAATTCTAATTCTTTTCATATAGGTGAATTCTTTTTTTAGATTAGTTACTGTATTTTGTAGCTTTTATAGTTTATTTATTACTTGGTTACTTTCCGTCTCTCCTCGTTCATTTTTTTTTTCAGTTACTGAAATATGTTTAATTATTTTTTGATCGAAGGTTTGTCCATTGGGATTGCGCATCGGCGAGCCTCGACTGGGCGCCGTGACAAGTGATATCAGAACCAAAGGTATTGTGTTTCATTTATCCGTCTTTGGTATTGATGGTCAATTATATTATATTTTAATTTTTTTAATGGTGCTTTTAATTATATTAGGAGTTTAAATAGATTTTCTAATATTAATTTTAAATATTGGTTATTATTTTTTAGTATATTATTATCCATTCTTGATATTCGTTTATTATTTTTTGCTAATTTATCTATTTTATTGAAAAAAATTCATTAGTCATTCTAGTTAATACTAGTTGAAATATAGTTTGGATGTTTTTAGAAGTTTTGTGTAGCAAAAGGTATTTAAAATTTTGGGTTGGAGGAAAACTACACGGATGCACCTTTTGGCGACTATAATGGTACCCGACGCCCTATTCAATGTTAAATGGTATGTCTACCCCAATTCTCAAACTTAAGTGGTATCCGAGATATTTCACCCCATGTTATTTCCCACCGAGTTCTCGAATGGCGAGTGACCAATTTTTCATAACGGATTAGGAAAAAGACAATGTAAAAGTGTAACGAACACACATACTTATTTGGTTTATTAATACAATATGTGCTAGCTAGTCCATGGGAATGAGAGAGACAGTTTTACAATACTTGAGCATATATAAATTACAAAGATTGAGAAGGTATATATTTCTTTCCCCATACGGCCTAATCTAATTCAACCTAGAAAGGATAATGTCACGAACGAGGCCCAAAACAAATAAACAAACGTGTATGTATAATTTGTCTTCGAGTTATAGCAACAACTATTAAAAAGAAGTGGTCCTACTATCCTTCACTCCCGGCTTTGTATCCTCGGTACGAGAACGAACAAAAGTACAAAATTTAGAGCAAATTCTACAATACTTGTGAATACCGGTGCTTTCGGGTACAAGTTTAATTAGTATCGTACCGCACGCAGATGTGCAAGTGAAAATTGAATTTGTATCATAATGTTAATGTATAAATTTAGTGTGCACCATAAAATAGATTTTTAAAAAATATGCAAGTGCAATTATATTTGTATGAGTACATTAAAAATATAAATTCTGTTTGTAAACGAAAATGCCGATATTATAAGTATACTAACGAAGCTCCTATATTAAACTAGAGACGAGAAACGAGTTGCGTGGTTTTGTTCCTAATGGATTTTGATAGTACGACATATGTTAAAAAATATGAAAATAAGAGAGGTACTCGGACACAATTTACGTGATTTGGCTAATAATAATTTATACTTTCTATTACGTGACCGTTTGTATTAGTTTTAGAGACCGACTCGTTAGGGAGGAGATATGGAGCTAACACCCTATCGCGTTAGCAACCTACTAACATAATAAGAATAGTTTGGTAAAGTCGCCAAGGTTCAACCTGTAAGATTTGATGTCGAAGGATGACTTGCTTGTGTCATTGATATTGGTGAATTTTATACAAGAGATATCAAGCCTACAACATCATAGAATTAATTATGATACATATTCATTAATAAATGTATTCCTTTATTAATCTCTTGATTCGTGTACTTGATGGTGGCAATATCCATGGGACGTTGTATCCTATCATTCTCCACAAGATGGAGGAGGAATCAACGACGCCAATCTTGGTGCGAAGAAGTTGAAAACGGGAGATGTCAATTGTTTTAGTGGGACCATCAGCAAGTGGGGAGGCAGCCAGAATATAATGGATGCGGAGTTGATTGTTGGCGACCATTAGACGAACAAAATGGTAGTCAAGAGTAAGAATTTCATCCATGAGTGGAACATCGGATTGATGCAATAGTATTTGGCGCCCATATTAACAATGTAAAGATTAGGCGAATGACATAGAGGATGATTGAGCTCAAGAAGAATATTTTGAAGCCATGCAACCTCACCAACAATATGAGATATGGCACGATATTCAGCCTCGATGCTAGAGCGAGCAACAATACGTTGTTTACGGGGATTCCAAGAGACAAGAGTGGAGCTGAGAAAAAAAGGATACACAGAGGTAGAGCTACGAAGATTGCCAGTCCAGTCAGAATCGTAGAAAACTATAAGTTGAAGTGATTCCGAGGTGCGAGAAATGCGGAGACCATGCATAGATGTCCCACGAAGATAGTATAAAACACACTTAAGATGTTTCCAGTGAAGAGAGGAAGGTGCATGCATATAATAGGGGAGCTTATTAACGACATAAGCAATATCGGGGCAAGTTTAGACAAGATATTGAAGAGAGCCAAACACCTACTAATACAATGTGGGATTTTTTTGAGGAAGAACCATCACACAATTTTAGAGTAACCGAGGTGGAAAGAGGAGTGGAAACAGGATTTCAGGATTTGAGTATTAGAATTTAGCAAAGTTGAACTTGAATTACACAAGATTATGGCCATTATTAAAATTTACACGTCTCACTTAACAGTGCTCATCCAGGATAAGACAGAGTTTGCAAAAATAAAAACTAAACCATCACAATTTGGCTTCACAGAAGAACATTTAATTGCACCATTGTCATTGCAGTTGTAGCTCTACAATACAAAACATATACATTCAAACTCCAATTGTCAACTCAATTAACAAAGGACAACTTTGTTTACTTCAAAATAACAACAACACGAAGATGAACCCCAACTTCAGGCATAGAAAACCTCGTATCACAGCCATCCTCCTCCAGTGAGTTATGAATCGTCTAACTAGAAGTAGAGGCATAATTCTTGCATACTCTCATTTCAAGTATGAACCAATGCTGATCGTGTACAACCACTACTCTTTTCAACTTTTGTAGGCCATGATTTTGTTGTAGCATACTATTGATGCAACAACACCTCCACCGTAGAACTGAAAAAAAACAAAGTGGTTTTAGTACGACACATTCTTTACTAAAAAAGTACTTCTATCAGTTTGATAACAACATACACATTGTTTGTATATAAATATCTTGGTATTGGATTTACTATCCATTAAGCGGTGTTTTCATAATAATTGTGAACTTCATCAGCATTCTTCCCATAAATGATAAATATTGCATAATTTTCCTTTTCTTTTAATTTTTGTTTTATTTCCAAAATGCCACATGTTTTTGCATAAAATTTCCTTTTCTTTTCATTTTTTTTCCTTTTCTCATTTTTGTGGCCACATCCACATGAGTCCTTTTTATCATTTTATTTTTGTTGTGCTGAAATTGAAATCTTTGTTAGTACTTAGTTTATCTTTTTATTTGTTGGGCGACAAGATGGACAATCAATTATATTTTTGTTCTTTTTCATTTCAAACTCGAAAACTTCATAAGCTTCAATGCCATGTGAATCAAATCAACCAAAATCTACTATCATTTGCTGGTTGTTTTGAGTTTCAACATACAATTGATGAGTGCACCTCAAACTACAATTACTTTAGCAAAAACACTATTTTTTATCTCTATTTTCACTTTGATTACAACACAACAAACAAAGAATATCCAACCTTCTAACAAAGTGTTCATCCATTGTATTACTGTTACCTCAAAATAAATAAAGATGAACCCTTTAGGAGAGTGGTCCTTCATAAAATCATTTTAGTGTATCACTTGCTCCCATTACATCCCAACTTTAGGTAAAGATTTCTAATCCTTCATTTTGAATGATTTTAGGTGAGCCCTTAAAAAGTTAATACATGCATTTCAACTCAAAATGAAAAAAAAAGACTTAATCTAGCCATTACATGTATTGTTTAAATACATCACTTGAAATCACATCCTCCAAACAATCCCTCAGATCTTTAGTGTTATACAAGATGTCTCGAATAAATGTGAGCATGACATCACCTCCTATATGTGTTACTCTTGTCTAGAGTTGACCATTTTTTGTACATGGACATTCATTCTGTCTCACAAAGTCACCCTAATTTCTTTAAATTTCATTACAAGCTCTCACATAATAGTCGATTAATGTGTTACTCTATGCAATCATTGTTCTGATCATGGACTTTATTTCATTTATCGTATGTGGGCTAAGCGGGTAATGGGTTCAGATATGTTGTTTAAATACTTGATTAGAACGAATAAAATTGTTCAGAAAGAAGATGATATGTATGGTCTCATATGTGTCCCAAAAGGCTAGAATAGTTGTTTATAAATTGATATTTGTCTCCAGTACATATAAAAATTTCATTTAATGACAATTTTATTGCATTGTAAAAGGAGAACACTTTCTTGATAGTATGAAAATACATATTAGAGCTTCGTTATAGCATATTTTTTATCTACATCTTGTATAACAGACAAATAATTAGATAAATCACCAAGTTTGCCTATAAATCCTTATACATCAAGTGGAAGCGACTGTCCTAGTTCATAGCAAAGATCTCGTTATGTTAAACGAGATTCTGAGATATAATAGTGAAGTTATCATTGTCATGATATTCTATTGTCTTTTCTGAAATCTTAAATAGTGTTGATCGATCAAGACGAGAGGCTGCTCATCTGAATAAAATATATTACATAGGTCATCCACCAACACCATAAAAGAGACAAATATGTCATCTGACTTTATTTCTACTCCATAGGGTAAACCTTGTGAGTGTAACTAAAAAATTTGTATCATATGTCATCCACCAACACCCTAAAAATTTTACAAAAAAAAAAACAATAAATATCCTGACAAATACCACGAACAGATAAAAAAAAGTGCGAGAAAGAAATCATATAAATCTACAAGTCGAGAAGACGTAGATACAGATTCGAGAAAGTGTTTCAAATGACTATTGTCAACCACTCCAACTGCCTTTTGAAGTTTATACATCTCTCGATTCATTGCTCATTTATTCATGTTGACTAAGTATGGTGGAAGACGATAGCCATCTGAAACACTCTCACGATGTTGTAACCACTTGTTCTCACGATGACATGATTAGAATAGCAGATGATTTTAAGATACTTGCTACAGATTTAACAGAATTATTCATAATCGAAAGTAGGCCCAAAGAAGTCAATCATTTGGTGGAGCTATTTGAGAGACGTAAAAATCAAGTCAGATGACATCTTTGTCTTTTCTATGGTGTTGGTGGATGACATGATTATAAAAACAGATGATTTAAGATGCTTTATGCAGTTATAAGGGAATTGTTTCCAATTTAAAATAAGCCCAAAGAAGTCAATCATTATGTAGATCTACTTGAGAGATGTAAAAATCCAGTCAGATGACATCTTTGTCTCTTGTATGGTGTTGGTGGATGACATAATTAGAAGGCCAAACGAATTCAAAAATTTTACTGCCGTTTTAAAACAGTTGTTTCCAAACCAAAACTTGGTCCAAGGAATTCAACCGTTTGGTGGAGCTGCTTGAGAGACATGGAAATGGTGATTAACTTCGTCGTTTCAAGAGCCAATGCATGAACAATGTCCTTTTGAATGTCTGGAGAAGTTAGTTGATGATTCTTTGGAGCATTTTCCATCACAACTCTCTTGACATGTTCTATATCACTAGCATAAAACTCCAACAGAGACAAGAATAAACCTCTATTATTTGAACCTTCTGACTCATCATGTCCACGAAATGGCAATCCATGCTTTAACAACCAATTTATGCATTTAACTGAAGCCTCTAATCGAATTCGATAATCCATTTTAGTTTGATCAGATTGTTTATCAAAAGCAATATGAATACTTTGTGATTGCTGCATCAAAGCTTCACCCATCCTCCGACAATCATTGTGAGCACTATTAATATCGCCAACATGTCTTGCCAACCTCTCATTCTTAGTCCAATTTGTAAAACCCTCTCCAATGAAACTATCACCACCACCTTTCTTTCCAATTTCATGTCTGAAAAGAAAACAATCCAAACAATATGCAGCATCTTCCTCAATACTATATTCTAGCCATTTATATTGATCAAACCAAGAAGGATTGAACCTTCGCCTCCTTTCACCAAACTCCCTCAATGGAAAAGCATGTGCACGAGGTTGATAGGGACCTTTTAAGAGGTAGGCTCTTCTAATTTCATCTTGCACATTAGGATGAAAAATAGATATTTTCTTTCTTAAACCAGGATCGGCTTGAAGAGAAACTCCATTAATCTTCCATTCTTCAGAAAGAGAGGGAGACTTACTTTGAAGTTCTTCTATAAGTTGAGGTTCTTGTGACTGTCTCGATTGATTTACTGATGAAGATTGTATGCACGGTTGGGGAAAAGTTGCAGCTTGCTTGCTACCTCGTGATTCCGTCTCATCCATTTCCGGAGAAGTAGTTTTTTCTTTCCTCGAATAATATCTCTTCATCTAATTTAATAATGAAAATCAACTTAATTAGTTCATTATATGAATAATTCAGTCCATGTTCTTAATTTGAAGATGAAATTGAGTATACCAAACATACAAACCTAACCCTAAATTAACACAAATAACAAAACTTCAAGTAATAGAAATTGAAACTTAGATTTACCTTGTTTTTAAGATTGATGATGTGAGTGCCCTGCTCCAATGCTCCAATGCTCCCCTTCCCTGCTCACGATTGAAAAGAGAAGGAAGCTTGGAGGTTAGCGAGTGCTTGGAGGAATGGAGGTCGGCGAGCTTGGAGGGCGGTGGGTGCCTGGGTGGAGCCGTGGAAGTTTGGCGATCTTGAAGCCGAAGATGGAGAGCTTGGAGGGTGACTCGCCGCCGTTGGAGCCTTGGAGAATGGAACTTCAAGCTTGGAGGACGGAGGTCGGCGACGGCGAGCGCCTCTGCTGCAGGGTCGTGGAAATAAAAAATGAAAGTGATTGGGGATTTCTCCCTGGGATCGACGCAGTGTTTTGATATAAGGGCAGATAATTACTATTGTATAATTAAAAGTGTGTGTCTTATAAATCAAAAATCGCATCTAGCAGAGATGGTGAGATTGCTTACCAGCAATTAAGGGGTTAGAGGTTCGACCCACAGTTCCCACCATATATACCTACTAATTTTTTCTTCCCAGCCAAGGGGGCTGCATGCACCCCCCTACTTGATACACAGCTCCGCCACTGAGTGTAGCTTTAACAAAAATTTAACAATATTTTGTGATAAACAAAGAAAGTCAATTAAATATAAATATTTTGTGTTAATGACAGGACCAAATATTCGAACTATCTCAAACTGCTTTTAACGTCATGGGATAGCATTTTTTTTAATTTACCAATCATTCATGAACAACAGAAAACTAGTATGTTAAACTATCAAGTTTCTTGACCAACTCTAATAATAATAATAAAAACAACGAATTCGGCAAATGCCACAAACATATGCAAAGAAGTTCGAGTACAGAAATCTTATATATTTGCAGGTTGAGATCAAAATTGATTGTTAATCGGACTTATTTTACAATAGTTTTGACTGTGCAAGTTGAGATCTTAACCACTAACGCCAAAAGCATTTTGAGATAGTTCGATTTTCGGTCCTACCATCAACACTAAAATCGACACATATTTAACTTTCTTTTTTAACCACAGATTGTTCTTCAAACAAATTTTTATGTTGGACTCTCATATTTACCGTATGGAGTAGACATCAAGTCAGAGGACATCTTTCTCTTCTACGGTGTTGGTGGATGACATGAGTAGCAATACTAGTCCAAATGACCAGGCTTCCATCTTAATCAATAATACATTGTTCAAACTTTCAGAAAAAATTATGGAGCATCATAACAATGATAAATTTACTACTGTGTTTCATAATTTCGTAAAACTTACCCAAATCATTGCTATGTATCTAGAACGTTGGCTTCCACCTAATGTGCCCGAATTGATAAGTAAACTTAATAATTTATCCAATTCTTTGTCTGTTATACAATGTGTATGAGAGAAGAGAATTTTAAAGAAACTTTTGTATATATTTCTTAACTATCGAGAAACATTGTTTTTATAACAATGCAATAAAATTATAATTTAATGAATTGTGATTTTATAAGTATCAGAGACAAATATCAATTCTTCTACAACGACTCGTGCCTTAGTGATTACATTTCATCTGCATACTGGACAACTTTCATCATTATAATAAACTACTATCATTACATCATATATATTAATCACAAGTTTTGAAATCACTTTTAATTTGTGTCAAATCAAGAGTGAGTTTATGGTAATTAATGGAAGCTTTATTTTTTTTGTAATTTTGTAATTTTCTACTTTGTTTTTCTCTCCGAGTTTACCATATGAGGTAGAATCAGAGGACATCTATGTCTCTTGTAGGTTCTTGGTGGGTGACATGACTAGCAGTATTGGTCCAAATGGCTAGCCTCGTATCGTAATCAATGTTGCATTATTCAAAATCCAAAAAAGATGGTGGAATATCACATTAATAATTAGTTTAATACTATTGACATAGGATGGTCGCTTCCACATGATATATAAGGATTGTCACGTAAACTTGACAATTTATACAATCATTTGTCTGTTATACAAGGTGTATGAGAGAAGAAATTTTCAACGAAACTTTTGTATGCATTTATAAATTATCGAGAAACTATTTTCCATCACAATGCAATAAAATTTATGTAATGTATAGTGATTTTATATTTATCCGAGAAAAATATCAATTTATCTGCAATAACTCGTGCTTTTGATATGCATATTCTCATATGTTTTGTATGTTTATTGTACAACTTTCTTCATTATAATCAAACATTTAAATAGCAAATATGGAACAGTTACTCGTTAAGTGCGCATACAATGAATGACATGAAGTTCATGATTCAAGTAATGTGATAAAAAACATTAATCATCCATTATGTGAGAGCATGTGATGAAATTAAAATTTTTAGGGTGACTTCATTAGACAGAAAGTGGAACTTTTCTAGTAGTAAAAATTGTCTACACTAGTCACGAGTAAGGCGGATATGGGTGAGTGAGGTCATCGTTAGATTTATCCAAGACATCATGTTACATGTAAGTCTCTTATAATATCTTTCGTGCATAATTAAATTTTCTCTAGACCAAATTGACACTTTTCTTTCCTTACAGGTTAATCAATTTAAAACTAGTGGAAGTCAAAACATGTCATAGATTCGAAGCCATATATTCGAGAAACTATTTTCTATCACAATAAAATAAAAATTTTAATTAATATATCGTCATTTTATATGTATTATAGAAAAATATCAATTTATCAATAGTAACTTGTGCCTTTGAGATGCATATTCTCATATATTTTGTGTGTTCACTGTACAAATTTGTTTAGTATAATAAAGCATTCAAACAATAAATCTGGACTCGTTACTTGTTTAGTCCACATACAATGAATGGCATGAAGTCCATGATTAATGAATACATGGAGGAATACATTCATACATTATGTGAGAGCTTGTGATGAAATTGAAAATTTGAGGGTGACTTCATTAGATAGAAAGAGAAATAGTTACTAGTACTAAAAATTGTCCACACTAGACACGGGTAAGGCAGATAGGGGTTGAGGTCATCCTTAGATTTATCCGAGACATCCCGTTACATGTAAGTATCCGATAATATCTTTTGTGCATAATTAAGTTTTCTCTAAACCAAATTGACACTTTGCTTTCTTTGTAGGTTGATCAATTTTAAACTAGTGGACGTCAAAACATGTCGTAGATTCGAAGCCATATAATAGAAGAGGGGAAGATTTCATTCCCCGATGCTATTTATCTAAGAAAAAACAGGGACATGTGATCTCGAATGATCTCTCATACCTGTTTTAGCGAAAAATGAGGTAACCTCTAGGTCTATTGTTCGAATCCATGAAGGGACTATTTGTGCTCAATTTAGACACTCAAAGGGTTTATTTACGCTTGGCAAACGAAATCTTATATAGTTACAGGCGAGCAAAATTTTCATAGATATATTAACTTATTTTTTATGGATTTTTTCTTCAACATCCCAAACGTCATCCTCGTAACTGATTTTGTGAATTTCTTTCGGTCCTTTTGGGGGCATATGTTGCCTCTTGAAATCGCTATCAATCTCAAATCTGCACCTACTTTCCGTTGATGCCTTTTATATGTCATTATCTCTAATTCGTTCACCAAGATCCACCTGAAAAAGTTCCTCAAAATAGGGTTGACGATGAATTCCTTGCACGTTTGCGGGTAATATGAATTTTAATTTTCTTTTTTCCTTAGATTTGTTCAATGGAATCCTTATTAAACCTCGTTTAGTCGTTTTGTATCGATGTCTCCCCTATAATTACAATCCCTAATCCATCATTGTTCTGTAAATCTCTTTTAATATCATATTTGTGCTTAAAGGTTCGGGCATTCATTCTATATTTAAATGTTTACTGTGAGGCATTGCATTAGCCTATTTTTTCGATTAAAAAATCATTGATCTTTGTATTGATTTTTCTATAGTTGAAGACAAGATCGCAAGGGAACCACAAGCTCCATGCCCTTCTATAGCAAAGGCAAACTACCGACAGATCCTTCCACTTTTGTAACAAATGTACAAATGAGAAATCTTGTTTAAGCTGGTTTTTCGGGAAGGTTGAGGACTCTAGAAGAAGTGAAACATGCATCAACACATACAACCTACAGGTGGGATGTGGGATTAGAATGGCGAAGCTGTAATATACAAAAATATAGTAGGGACATTTCAAAATTTTGAAAAGATGTCATGTCCATAGTTTTTCTCAGCTTCTAACCTAGCTTTTATATAGTTTAATTATATGTATTTTTTATATAAAAATTAAAATTATCCATACTTTTAATGGCTTCCATTAAATGGTTTATATTTCAGAAAATTCATTTATAATAATTTCATTTTTCATAAAATAATAGATTTCTATTTGGGATAGATAGTTATTGTCAGGTAAACAGTATGGAAGAGAACGATTGAAGGCGTGACTAGATCACACTCCTTAGAGTGTTTATTTGCCCCACTACTTTGTTGCTGGTAGGATTTAGGCAAACCAACCCTAGGAGTCCCTCCAATTAAAGTCAGAAAGCAGCACCTTTCGTGACTTCTGTGTTTGTGTTTTTGGAGAAGGAAAAACGAGGAGAAGAAGAAGAACGTTGGAACAGAAATTTGGCTGCAGACTTTTATAGTGAAAACGGCAATTCCCTTCCGAAGGGTTATGTCGTTTCACAAAATTCAAAAACAAATAATTATCCGGATTAATTAATTAGCCAAAAATTCAAATCCGAACGCGTCGCGCAAAGTGCTAAGTGCGTAGTGCGATTTAATATGTCCAATTAAATAGCCCACACTTTTTTCAAAAGCCCACTAACCACTTTATCCAATAACTAAAGTGGAAAGCAAACTTAAAAACAACTTGCACTTTCCTTCTCCCACCAATGTGGTATTTCCTTTACTCTTTGACTACTCTAACAATCCCCCACTTAGTCAATAAGAGTCGAGAATACCTGCCTTGAACAAGTAACGCATACATAAAGGTATCTTTTCGATTTGAACCTTTACTTAGTGTAAGCATCTCAAAGTTAATAGCGAATCAATGACGGGCTTAAGCCTAGGAGTCAAGATCCAAAGCTAGAACTGGAGACACCACACACGTACTCGTCTCTTCTCTAAAACACAACCACCAACAAGGGTAGCACTATTATGGCCATGTGCTTATCCTGTTTCATGAGCATATACAAAAGTTGACCTTTACTTTCGTTAGAGCGGCACCACTCCAAATGCTCACATAGGTGACATTTCAAATGAACGTCATTAAGAGTTCTATAACTCACCCTTCTTACAACTAATTTACTTGTACAATAAACTAGTTCCCAGTTAGAGTAACTTGTTATTACCACATTGAACCTTTTAATTAGGGAATATCTAAAGAAAAGGTTGGGTTTCCATTACTTCTAACTATACAAAAGGTCTCAATCCCATCCCTTGGGATGTCTCATAGATCATGCCTCTTGGCAACCCCTTTGTAAGAGGATCTGCCAAATTGTTGCACGACCTTACATACACAATAGAAATGATTCCGTTAGTAATCAAATACCTAACGTAGTCATGTCTTAGGCTAATGTGTCTAGACTTACCATTGTAAATCTTGTTATAAGCTCTAGACAATGTAGCCTCACTATCACAGAAGACAGAAATGGCTGGCATCGGTTGTGGCCACAACTCTATATCTAACAACATGTTTCTTAGCCATTCTGCTTCTTTTCCAGCCGCCGCAAGGGCTAGGAATTCGGCTTCCATAGTGGAGTGTGAAATACATGTTTGTTTCTTCGAAGCCCAAGAAACAGCTCCACCACCTAGTGTAAAAATCCATCCTGTTGTGGATTTATTATCACTAGCGCTCGTGATCCAACTAGCATCAGAAAATGCTTCTAGTACAGCAGGGAAGTTGCTATAGAAGAGTCCCAAATCTTTGGTTCTTTTCAAATAACCAAAGACTCTTCCTATAGCTCTCCAATGATCGGCACTAGGATTACTAGTGAATCTAGAAAGTTTGCCCACCGCAAATGCAATATCGGGCCTAGTACATCCCATTGCATACATCAAACTTCCAATAGCACTTGAATACTCAACTTGTGCCACTGCCCTTCCCTCATTCGCACAAAGCTTAAAAGATGCATCATAAGGGGTGTTAGCCTCCTTTATATCCAAATGTTCGAATTTCTTGAGCATCTTCTCGACATAATGTGACTGACTCAAAGCAAAACCCCCACTATGTTTCTTTACTTTGATGCCCAATATAGTATCTACTTCTCCAAGATCTTTCATTTGGAAGCAAGAAGTTAGATACTCTTTGGTCTCATTTATGCCTTTCATGTTAGTTCCTATTATCAACATATCATCAACATAAAGGCATATAATGACCATATACTCTTTTGTGCACTTTGAATAAATGCACTTATCAACACTTTTTCCAATTAAATAGCCAATTAAATAGCCCAATTATTTTGTTATTACAATTAAATAGCCCACACTTTTTCCAAAGCCCACTAACCACTTTATCCAATAACTAAAGTGGAAAGCAAACTTAAAAACAACTTGCACTTTCCTTCTCCCACCAATGTGGTATTTCCTTTACTCTTTGACTACTCTAACAGTTATATAATAATTTGGTAGGAATGTATTTAAATTAATGTTTAAAGTTTGGACTTTAAGAATTTAGAGTTTATTTTTGTTTGAGAGTGATATATTATATTTTTAATTTATACTTAATTGTCATAAGGTGTATTGAAATTATTACATTTATATTTATGAAGCACTGGCTCATTAATAATTTTACAATTTAATACAAATAAAACTAATAAAGTGTGAACTGTGAACCGTTTCTGGGCGCCAACGGAATCCTCTACCGGTATAAATAAATAAAGCAAGACGGATGTTGATGCAGACAAATTTACCCTCGTCGTTGATTCTTTGATGAGGTAATTACAGTAAAGCCCAACGATGCCCACATGATTGGGAGTAGCACCGCGGTTGCGCAAGAAGCAACGACAACAGTGGTGGGATAGTGGATTGGTTGCTCCTTGCTCCGATGAGGTGAATGTCATTCTGGTGGGTCTCGACAAAAAGGCCGCCAATGACACCGCCACCGACCCAGGGTTCCGCACCGCCAACGTGAATGTCACCGCCAACAGCGACTTCCGCGGAAAATTCTACAGAGGTATGGGTTTCGCAGTTGTGGAATCGAAAGGTATGGGTTTCGCAGTTGTGGAATCGAAATTATATGCTTTTGGTGGCTGTGAGGTTTGTGCCTCCCTTGACCCTGAGTTCGATTTGATTTGAATACAGGCAAGACGTACTTGTTGGGTATTAGCGGAATTGTGGTGGAAAATAGGATCAAAACAAAGGAAACAATTGGTGTTTAATCACTCTTTTTATAAATCACTCAAACAAACAAGGCCTTAACTTTTGGCTCTTGTTGCTTACAAACACATAGATACAGAGACTTCTTTCTTTCTTTATGTCTCTCTGACAATCTCTTGCAAACCCATACATACACATTTATATTACAATGAAAGAAGAAACTAATAATGCTATTGGCTCCATTTCTTTCTCCATGCACGTTACCACTTGTGGTAGATGGAAACATCACTTAATTCAATTGGCCTACTCATTACTCCATGCATTAATCTCATTGTCTCTTGCATTATTTTGATTTTGGCTTCTTCTTTCTAACAGATGGAATTGACATGGATATGAGTTCTCAACCAAGCCATGCCCCATCCATTTATTTGACTTCATTATTTTTTGTCTTGCATGAGACATTGTGGGTTGCATCATTAATCATGTTTCTTTACCATAGGTAATTGCAAATTACCTTTCAACACCCCCTCTTAATTTGCAATTTGGAGTAGCTCCTTGAACTTCTCGAATTTCTCACGGGTAACCGCTTTTGTCATAATATCTGCTGGCTGGTCGTTGGTGTTGATAAATTCCATCTCGATTAATCCTTCGTTGACGAGGTCTCGGATGAAATGATGACGCAACTCGATATGCTTCGATCTTGCGTGAAATACTGGATTTTTTGTCATGGCTATGGCTGACATGTTGTCACAATGAATAATGGTTGGACCATTTTCATTTTGCTGCAAATCAAAAATTAATCTTTTTAGCCATACCGCTTCGCATGCTGCATCTGTAGCTGCGATATATTCTGCTTCCGCTGAAGATAATGCCACAGCCTTTTGCTTCTTTGAACTCCAGGAAATGGGTTTTGAACCCAGGCAGAATATGTACCCCGATGTGCTTTTTCGATCATCCAGTGATCCTGCCCAGTCACTATCGGTATATCCAGTCAGCTTGCTTTCTGCTTCTTTCTTGTACGTCAGGCCCAATTTTTTAGTACCTTGAAGATACCGCAAAATTCTTTTGGCTGCTGCAAAATGAAGTTTGCTAGGTTCATTCATAAATCTTGATATAAGACTTACTGAATGACATATATCCGGCCTGGTATGTGTCAGGTAAATGAGTGACCCGACAAGACTTCTGTACAGCTTTCCATCGACTTTTTCAGCTCCATCATTGCGTTGTAATTTCTCGTTTAACGCCATCGGTGTTGAGATTGGTTTGCACGTTGCCATGTGAAATCTTTTCAGCATATCTTCGGTGTACTTCTCCTGTGAAATAAATATTTCTCCAGGTGACTGCTTCACTTGGATCCCAAGAAAATACTTCATGAGTCCCAAATCCGTCATCTCGAATTCTTTCATCATGACACTTTTGAATTCTTCGATCATATGCTGACTTGTACCTGTGTAAATCAAATCATCAACATATAAACAAACCATTAGAAAATCTTTTCCTTCTCCCTTTTTGATGTAGAGAGATGCTTCACTCGGACTTCTTTGAAATCCGTTTTGCTGAAAATATCGATCGATTCTGCTGTTCCAGGCTCTCGGTGCTTGCTTCAGCCCATATAAAGCCTTTCGGAGACGATAGACTTTGTCTTCTTCTCCTTTTTTCTCATAGCCTCGTGGTTGCTCCACATATACTTCTTCTTCCAGTTCTCCGTTCAGAAATGCTGATTTGACATCCAGCTGGTATACTGGTAACTCCAGTTGAGAAGCTAGAGCGAGAACTGTTCTGATGGTCTCCATCCTCGGTACTGGTGCATATGTCTCGTGAAAATCAATACCGGGGTGTTGTGAATAGCCCTTTGCCACCAGTCGAGCTTTGTACTTCTAGATAGAACCATCTTCATTGAATTTGATCTTATAGATCCATTTGAGACTTATAACCGGCTTGTCCTCCGGTTGATCAACAAGCTCCCATGTCTTGTTTTTCTCGATCATGGAAATTTCTGCATCCATCGCCTCATTCCAAACTTCATCTTTGGCTGCTTCTTCAATGACTTGAGGCTCACAAGAAAAATATGCCACATGACTTGTTTCATAAATTTCTCGCAAAGACCTTGTTCTCAATGGAGGTGAATCTGAGTCTGTTACGATGTCTCTGAAGTTGTCTCTTTCTGGGCTAGGTGCAGAATTTCTTTCTGGACTAGCAACTGGATCTGGGTCGTTGCTGGGGTCTTCTGGAGTTGCTGAGTCCTCCAGAATTTCATAACTTGGTGGAGATTGAGAAATTGGATTTTCCCAATTCCACTCCGCCATCTCATCAAAGATCACATCTCGGGAAACCACCACTTCGTTCTTTACTGGGTTGTAAAGACGATAGCCTTTGGACTCATCACTGTAGCCGGTGAAGATCAGCTTTTCTCCCTTCTGGTCAAACTTGTCTCGGTTTGGAGTAGAGATGTGTGCATAAGCTATGCACCCAAAGACTTTGAGGTGGTCGACCTGTGGCCTCCTGTGGTGCCACGCATGTATCGGTGTCTTGTTCCGAACTGCTTTGGTTGGTGATATGTTGAGGATGTAAATTGTTGTATTGACCGCTTCTGCCCACAAGTTGTTGGGAAGCTTTTTTGCTTTGAGCATACTTCTCGCCATCTCCACAATCGTGCGATTTTTCCGTTCCGCCACGCCATTTTGTTGTGGTGTGTAACGGACCGTCAGCTGCCTTTTTATCCCGTTGTTGCGAAAATACTCCATGAACGGAGTATAAATAAAATCTCCTCCACGATCTGTACGGAGAGTTTTGATTTGATGGCCGCTTTCCTTCTCAGCTACTGCTTGGAATTGAAGGAACTTGGGAAAAGCTTCTGACTTTTGCTCCAGAAAGAATACCCACATCATTCTGGTGAAGTGATCTACAAATAGTAGAAAGTATCTTTTGCCGCTGAGTGATTGTGTTCGGGTTGGACCACATATGTCTGCATGTACCAACTCCAGTGGCGCTTTTGCTCTCCATGATGTCTTTGGAAATGGTAAACGATGCATTTTGCCATATATGCATCCTTCACATATTTTATCTTCTCTGTTGATCTGGGGAAGTCCTGCCACCATATTTTTCTGCCTCAGCAATTTGAGGCCTCTGAAGGTGAGATGACCGTATCTGAGATGCCATAGAAAGGATTGATCCAGATTTTCACTCTTGAATGCTACTTCACCATTTTGTGACATAGCAAGAGAGAAAATTCTGTTGGAAGTCATCGGGACTTTGGCCACCATGAAATTGTCTGCTTTGTTGATAATCTCGCACACGCCATTATCAAACAATAGCTTGTAATTTTTCAGCATCAGTTGTCCCACGCTAAGTAGATTGAGAGTTAGCTCCGGAACATACAAAACATCTCGAATGAGAGTTTTGTTGCCTTCTTCTGTGCATACAACAAGTGTGCCTTTTCCTTGCACTTTTAGCTTCTTCCCGTCTCCCAATTTGACTTGAGAGCGGTATTTGTCATCGATGTCGGTGAAGGACTCCAGATCTCCAGTCATGTGGTTACTGCAACCACTATCCACCATCCAGGGAAGCTGTGATTTTTGCTCACCATACAAGCATGACAAGGCCACCATATTGCTTTCTTCATTTTTGGTGCCGCTTGACTCGCCATCTTCTTGCTTGTTCTGGAACCAGCAATCTCTCTGGGAGTGGTTCTGAATTCTGCACTTGGTGCACTTGAATTTGCAGTCTTTTGTTGCATGACCCGCCTTTTTGCAAATTATGCAACTCGAGCCGGTGTAGCCCGATCTTTGTTGTTGATAATTTTGTCTGTTGTTTCCTCTGTAATTGGATCTTCCTCTTCCTCTTCCTTGTGAGTTTCCCCCTCTCTGGCCTTGCTCCGATTTGGCATATTTACTTTCCGCCATGTTGACTTTTGACGAGAAAGCTTGCTCCAGTGGCGGTTTGGTGAAGCGGCTCATTCTTTGTTCGTGTGCTACAAGTGAGCCCATCAACTCGCTCATTGGTAGATTTGCCAGATCTTTGGTTTCTTTAATGACAGCAACAATATGCTCGAACTTTGATGATAAACTGCGGAGAATTCTCTCCACAATTTTTCTTTCTTCCATGACATCACCGGTGGCTTTGATCTGGTTGACTGTCTCCGCCACACGCGAATGGAAGTCTTTGATGGTGTCGGTTTCCTTCATCATCAAGTTGTCGAACTGTCGCCATAAACTTTGGCGCCTGATAGAGATTTCCTTTTCAGAACCTTGAAATTGTTCACGCAAGACATCCCAAGCTTCTTTGGCCTTTTTGATGCCATAGATTCTGGGGTAAATTGATTTGCTCACTGCTTGCTGAATGATTCTCAAGGCGCTGGCATTTTGCTTGGCATTCTCCTTGTACTCCTTTGTCTGCTTGCCTGATCGTTTCTTCGAGTCTTCATCATCTTCCTGTGGACTTTCATAGCCATCTTGGACTATATCCCACAGATCTTGAGAGATGAAAATTGGCTCCATTTGGGCACTCCAGTACTCGTACAATTCTCCATCTAAAATGGGAATTTGATTAGAAGAGGTAGCAAACATGGTGTTTGAGGAAGTTGTTGCCATGGATTTTTGAGAGGATTGGGTAGGCTAGAAATTTGGGGATTTTTGAGAGGATAGAAGGGTATTAGCTCTGATACCAAATTTGTTGGGTATTAGCGGAATTGTGGTGGAAAATAGGATCAAAACAAAGGAAACAATTGGTGTTTAATCACTCTTTTTATAAATCACTCAAACAAACAAGGCCTTAACTTTTGGCTCTTGTTGCTTACAAACACATAGATACAGAGACTTCTTTCTTTCTTTATGTCTCTCTGACAATCTCTTGCAAACCCATACATACACATTTATATTACAATGAAAGAAGAAACTAATAATGCTATTGGCTCCATTTCTTTCTCCATGCACGTTACCACTTGTGGTAGATGGAAACATCACTTAATTCAATTGGCCTACTCATTACTCCATGCATTAATCTCATTGTCTCTTGCATTATTTTGATTTTGGCTTCTTCTTTCTAACAGATGGAATTGACATGGATATGAGTTCTCAACCAAGCCATGCCCCATCCATTTATTTGACTTCATTATTTTTTGTCTTGCATGAGACATTGTGGGTTGCATCATTAATCATGTTTCTTTACCATAGGTAATTGCAAATTACCTTTTAGCAGTTTGGAATCGAAAGGTATGAGTTTCGCAGTTGTGGAATCGAAATTATATGCTTTTGGTGGTTGTGAGGTTTGTGCCTCCCTTGACCCTGAGTTCGATTTGATTTGAATACAGGCAAGACGTACTGTGGGATACCAATGTTTGCAGTTATAAGTATAATTGCCAGTTGTGGGTTGTGAATTGATTGTTTATGCGGAGTCTGATGATAACTACCCTTGTCTGTATGCTCTTGACATGGAGCATCTAGAGTTGCGCCCCATAATCACTAGTACTAGTATGGCTCAGTATGCTGTTTGCAATGGTAAGTTTTTCAGCTGAGGGTTGAAAATCCTGAATCCGTACGCGACTTCTATCCGAGTGTCGAGTACAAGGATGTCAGTGTTGTGCACTTGGATCCTTGTGTAAGTTATGATCAGTAGGTGTGTCCATTTGGGTTTGGTTTTTCGAGTTTACCCGAAACCGACCAGATTAGATACATTTTTGGTTTTTTGGGTTTAGGTTTGTTTCAAGTTTTGGGTTTTTCGGTTTCGGGTTTGGTTTTGCTTATCGGGTATTGGGTTTCGGCTAGAAACCTCCAAAAAATAGTACTCAGCCCGTATTCTTAGGCGTTCGGGTTTCGGTTTTGCTTTAACTAAACCCGAACCCGATAAGAAATTTTCAGGTTTCGGATAACCGGAAACCGAAAGTCATTATCGAGTTTCGTTTATGTTTTCGGTAATTTCGTTTTCGGGTTTTGTCGGGTTTCGGTTCGGGTAACCGAACCCGACCTGAACGGACACCCCTATCAGCTGCTGTGTCAGTCGCATAGCACTAGGAGGTTTGGTGGTCTAGCTGAATTTCTGCTGAAAACTCCAAGGGATAAGTGGACAAGTGTGGATGCAGGGGTGGTTCCTTATGGAAATGGTGATAATGATGCATACTGTCTCTTTCTTTGGTATAGAGGGTGCCACGATCTGAACAACTCTTTCAGCATTTGCAGGTACAGATTGGTTAGCAATTGTGGGCGTTGTGAATTCTTAGAGACGGTGTAGGATTTTGGTCATTTTGGGATGATGAGCGATGCCCTTATGTCATGGCCTTTACTCCCACCAGCAACATATATACTTTTCTTTTATTCCTTCCGTAGCTTGAAATTTTGATGTGATGATGATTATATTTTCTGTGTGTATGTGTGTGTTCATGATTTCCTTCATTGCTGTGTGAGTAAGATATTTTCGTATTTTTTGGTGGTCAGTGCTGAGTGTTTTGTGAAGGAGGATATGCTCCGCCGGTGTGAAATCGTATGATTATCTTATATATGTATACATAGGTATTCTAACTCTTGATTTCTATCCTTCCTTTATGTATGTTCTTCCAATTATGGGGCACAGGTATTCTAACTCTTGATTTCTATCCTTCCTTTATGTATGTTCTTCCAATTATGGGGCACTATTGATGTTTCCATGTGGAATGTGGATACTAGGGTTGTTTAACTTTCCTACACTTGGCTTTTGTGGGTTCTCGAGAGTGATGATTCTCATATCACCTTTCTATATATATATATATATATATATTGCACTCTTGCAATGAGCCGAGTCTGATTTTCTTTCGTGACGCCTCTAGGACGAAGGCTGCCACAATGACTGGAAGAGACTATCTTGTCTGGAGGATTGGTCATGCCGTGTGGCTTGTAGCAGCTGATCATCCCATTTCGCATTATTGGTGAAAATTTTGATTGGTCCATTTGTATAAATTAATTAATCGTTGTTTTGTATGCAGAAGGATTAGCGCTAGGTAATTGTTTTCAGTATTTTCCCCAAACAGTACTGTGTTCAAGTGGTTATTATGGTTTATGGTAATACCAAATCAATTAAGTATAAAATTGATTAATTATAAAATTCAATATCATAAATCAAATGGGCCAAACTAATACAATAACTAAATTAACCAAAATAGAGTTTAATAGCTTAACCAGATTAGCCAATGGGCTAGTGATTCGGGCCTAATTGTACATGTTTTGCCCCGTTTTACTTGGGTCTTTGTGGCAAATTCACTCCTAAAAGGTTGGTTTTACGCTAGGTTTCTCGTGTTTTAGTGTATTCAGGGTTTAACAGGTGAAACCAGCCTCAGAGTCGAAAGTTGGACGAAAAGGATCGAAAACCGGGAGAAGAGGTAGAAAGGGCCAATTCACGGCTATCCCAGGAAGTTCACTGTCTTGCATGACCGTGAAGAAGAGCCCTTGACCGTGAAACTCGAGGCTTGCTGGGCCAAAACAAAGGTTAATGATGCAAGGTGAGTTTACGGTCACTAAGACCGTGAACAGAGGCTGTTGATCGTGAACAGAAGTGAATGAAGCGGTGCGTTTTGGCACGCCTGCAGTTCACGGCCGTGAACTGAGATTGTCTATGGTTTAAAAAATGAGCTGAAAGGAGGAGAGAGGGGAGAGCCCATTTTGTGTTAAAAGCCTTCTTCAGATTTCTAGAGAGAGAAACCGAACCAAAGGAGAAGGCTAGGGTTTTGCTTCAAGGTGGATATTGGGAAGATTTCCTCCAAGGAAAGTTCAACACAAGGGCCAAGAAGATTGGGAGCATCCTCCAAGATGGTTTCCACCTCTTCTCATTGTGTTTTTCCCATTTCTAGCATGGAGTAGATCTCCTTTCACTTGGGTGTTGTGAAACCCTAACTCTACCATGTAGTTTCTTTTATGTGAATTGAATGATTGTCATTGGGTATTGGTTAATTCAATGATTGAGGTATTATTCATGTTGATTGTGCATGCTTGTGCTTAGCAACCTAAGGGTTGTGCATGTTTTGTGCTTAGCATCCTTAGGTTTGTGCATTTTGGTAATTAGCAACCTAAAGATTGTGCATAATTGTGCTTAGCACCCTTAGGTTTGTGCATGTTGGTGCTAGCGATCTAATTAGCCACCTTAACCTAGCTTAGAGAGGAAAATCCCCCTTCCAAGGGAGACTCAATCGAGTTGGTTATCCTTCAGCTTTTTAAGCCACATAACTAGGTAAATTTATGGCAACCCTCAATGTTGAATTAAGCAAATCGGTTAATCGCGATTAAGTCGTCTGATCTTTGAGTTGAGTGAGGGAATAAGTCAACTATCGATTGCCGAAACCGAGAGGGTCGAGTGACACGGGCTATAATGTTTACCTCGGCTTAGCAATTGAGATTGTGGTCTCTGACTCGCACGAAACTACACCACAATAAAATCCCAATGCAATATAGGGCAAGCATTTAGATATCGACCCGGGCCGGTCCATCTACCATTGATTCAGTTGTTGAAATCATTATCTAGCAACAAAACTTTGGTTTAAAGGTTTGCTAATTGAAATAAAAGAAAGCAAAGGTGATTGGGTATGAAAACTCTTTTGTGGGAAAGTCACTCGGGTGTCGCTTCCCCCTAACCGCTACCATGCTATGTGAATTGGAACGATGCCTTTGGGCACAATAATCTCGAACAGCAGAGGGATGCATATGTGGTCGGAGACCGCAATCTGAATTGCTAAACCGAGGTAAGGATGAAAGGCCGTGTCACTCGACCCTCTCGGTTTAGACAATCGGTAATTGACTTACTCCCTCACTCACCTCTAAGGTCGGACGACTTAATCACGATTAATCGATTTGCTTAACTCAATATTGAGGGTTGCCCTAACTTAACCTAGTTTAGGTGGCTTAGAAAGCGGAAGGAAAACCAACTCGATTGACTCTCCCTTGAAAGGGGGATTTTCCTCTCTAAGCTAGGCCAAGGTGGTTAATTAGATTACTAACACCTAAATGCACAAACCTAAGGGTGCTAAGCACAATTATGCACAATCCTTAGGTTGCTAAGCACCTAAATGCACAAACCTAAGGATGCTAAGCACAAAACATGCACAACCCCTAGGTTGCTAAGCACAAGAATGCACAATCATGATAAATAATGCCTCAATCATTGAATTGAACAATACCCAATGACAATTATCTAAACCACATACAACAAAACTACATGGTAGAGTTAGGTTTTCACTACACCCAAGTGAAAGGAGGTCTACTCCATGCTAGAAGTTGGAAAACAAAAAGGAAAAAGGTGGAAACCATCTTTGAGGATGCTCCTAGTCTTCTTGGCCCTTGAGTTGAACTTTCCTTGGAGGAAATCTTCCCAAAATCTGCCTTGAAGCCAAACCATAACCTTCTTCTTCCCTTTGGTTATGTTTCTCTCACTAGAATGCTGAAGAAGGTGTTTCACACAAAAGTGGGCTCTCCCTTCTCTCCTCTTTTCAGCTCATCTTTTAAACCAGAGATGAGCTGAGTTCACGGCTGTGAACCATGAAACGTGTCCGTGAACTCCAGGTGTGCGTCAAAACGCGCCGCATCGCTCACGTCTGTTCAAGGTCAACTGCCTTTGTTCACGGTCTTAGTGACCG